GCCGCCGAGCACACCCAACCTCACCCACGATGCCTAGACGACAACTAGATGGGAAGGTTACCGAGACGCTCGACTGAAATGTTTTGGTCTCTCACATGGACGACGACGCGCCCTGATTGGCTGGCTGCTCCCATCCGCGTGTTCCTGATTGGTTACGATAAACGTTTAGGGAGGAGTTGAATCGACCTCACATGCCCTGGCTCTAAGTCTGAGTTCTGCCATGTACCTATTGTTAAAAAGCCAATATTATTGCAGGAAGATCGAATATCTGCACAAAGGTGAACACCGAGGTACAATACAGAAGTGTTAAACGGGGATATTTGCCTGAAGGTAGCATGCACCTGTAGCGAGCGGGAGTTACCTGTGCCGCTTCCGCCCCGTAATGGATGCTACACATTCATTGATGAACGCGTCAAGAAAACAATTATCAATTCACATTTCTCCGCGCCCCATACTGATGCTGTGATGTTAGTTACAGGGCTGAGTTTAACAATGTTATGCAGGTCTGTAAACTATAAAGTTTAATTATTTGTACTTGTCGATAGCCCATAGAACAGAAGGTGGGTGTTACAACAGCAAGTGAACCGGGAAAATTGTGGCGTGTAAGAACAGTGCGCTCACTAGAGGTCACAGGATACATCACGCTGCTGACGCTCAACTTTATGCACACATTCATATGGTTAATATTATTATCGATTTTGCAATATTTCTTATCTCCATCGAAGAAAAGGCGAGTCATTTTCTCTCCTTCCTGCTCTTATAATCCTGAAGTTTATTCCGCCTGTAAGGATCTAATATCAACAATTGATTTATGTGGAAAACAAGATTAATAATGAGGGCACCAGGACACCACACACATCTTCAGCGTTTATTTGTTTAATGGTATCAATAATGTTTCGGAACATCGCTTATTCCTTCCTCAGAGCAGAACTTACAGACACAAGATTCTACAGTCAATAACAATACAATAAAATGATTGACAACTGTTTGTAATTTCGCCAGTGTTCCTCTTCATCTTGCATTATGTCAATTACTTACTTTTTAATTCAGTGACATTTAGATTTTTCATTAAAATCTGATTTCCTCTGATATTTACTATCCATTATATTTTTATCCAATGGCTCGTATCTCTCACATACTGATAACTTGACGTGCGTGTGTGGTGACCTCTCCTTAACTTGTGTAATGTTGATATATGGTGGTAAAAGATTAATACATTCCTTCAAGATTACATTCTCAATTTAACCTAAAATATATATATATAGTAAAGGAATACGTACCCACTTCATGTTCAACAAAGCGAGAAATCTGGTGCATCGTTGATAGATTTTCGTCACAGATTTACACAATTTATTAACCACAAATACGGGAAGTGGGGGGGACAAAATGCGAACTACAAGTCTAATGTTACCAGACACTAACACCCCACCAACAACAATGTACTCAGCTGCCTCATACACTGAACAAGGATAATGGAGGATAATGCTGGGACTATAAACACCAAGTTGGGTTGTGTTAAGCTACTAGACAGATGGAAGAATGTTTTGACCTTGGGGTACTTGTAAGCCCGGACCTACGGCCTAGAAAACAGTGCGTTAATGTTCGAAATAAGGCAAACAGAATATTGGGTTTTATATCTAGAAGTGTAAGTAATAAGAGTGCTGAGGTTTTATTGCAACTATATCTTGCGCTAGTCAGGCCGCACCTCGATTATGCGGTTCAGTTCTGGTGCCCTTATTATAGAATGGATATCAATTCACTAGAGTAGGTGCAGCGAAGAATGGCGAAAATGATTCCGGGACTTAGAAACCTTCCATATCAGGATAGGTTAAAGAAACTAAACTTGCATTCCCTAGAAAGACGAAGAGTGCTGGGAGATATGATAGAAGTATTTAAGTGGGTGAAAGGAATCAATAAAGGGGATATAGATAAAGTTCTTATAATATACGAGCAGGATAGGACTCGGAGCAACGGTTTAAGTTGGATAAGTTTAGGTTTAGGAGGGAGATAGGAAGGAACTGGTTCACAAATAGGGTGGTGGACGAGTGGAACAAGCTTAGCAACTTTGTAGTAAGTGCTGGAACGCTGGAAAGTTTCAAAGGGAGGCTGGATAGATTCATGGATGATAGAGAGTGGTAGTAACTCTCGATAGGAGCTGCCATGCACAGGCCAACCGGCCTATTGCAGACTCCTTATTTTCTTATGTTCTTAAGAGGAGAGAGAAATGACCTGCGCCGAATGAACGAAAGAAATTTTGATTTTTTTCAGCTAAGAGAAAACCTTCAGCACTGAGAGGATTAAGGTTAGGTTCCATTCCTGCTGTCTTTACACCTTGATATTTCATGGAGGTCCGAGATGGAGAGGAGCGCATGGAGTAGGGGGGGTTGGTCTTAGTAGGCCTGGGTGTCTTAGGTTGTACCTCTGGTTTAGAACAAATGTCACACAATTTAAAAAAAACACATTTCTTGTTTTGAATCAATCGTGATTTCTATTCAAACCAGAACATCAATGTCCAATAATAACGAAGGGAAAACTGAAAATATTGCAATAAATCATTAGGTATTATCTACAGTAGTTATTCATAAAACGAACGTTTTCTCTATTTAGTTTTAGGAGTAACAGAAGCAAACAGGTTGTAACTTTAATACATCCTGTAACGTGACAACAAGCCTCTTAAAATCACTTAAAGCAATACAGGTAACAATTATAAAAATATACCACGCTAAAATAATAGGTAATAATCACCTTTTCCTGCACGGTCTTAGTATTTATCCTTGTCCTATTTGTGTTTATATGATAAGTAAACTAACCATCTCCGAATGGGGAAGTAGAAACCTGGTTAAATTCAATAATAATAAAACCCAGTCTTTACCAATTACACCAAGTACAGCTGGGGATACTGCACAGATGTACTTATTTTGTTATCTGGTACCAATGAAAGCAACTTTGCTGAAGCATCTTGGTGTAATTTTACCTTTTTAGTGGAGGTAAGAGTAGGCTACTGTACACTGGGACCGAGAGTCAGTTGTAAACAGACGACACGCGGAGGAAAAATATTTTTTACATGAACGAAAATTTTAAACCAAACCTAACCTAACCCGGTGTGTATATTAATTAACTACCAACATACATAAGTAAATGTTGATTAGCACTTTTATTTGTAATTTGCGACGGAAATTGCATATTAGTAATGATTCAGATTGTTGAGTTCCACCTATAGTAACCATTATTATATTCGATAGCTTTTAAGAGTGCACTTGTAAATAAAATCCATTTAGGCGACAAAATACTCGCAATTAAGTGAAAGTTCATCCTTCATTTGAACGAAAACAGTATAAGTGGTTAGAAAGCTTATGGTAAAGAATATGGTCTTGTTTCTACTAAAACCAAACAACTCAATCCTAAAAACAAAAAAAAAAGAGACTCACTTGTAAACATTTACCCAAGGTTGCTGCCTAAACTTGAACTTTTTGAAATATATTATCTAATACAGCACTAAATCACACCAACCTTTATTAATAGAAGACTTTTCAGCACTGTGTTTCAGCATCAGAAATCCTCGTGTTGCTGGCCGCTGGTTTCAGTTCCCAGCATTTTATCTTTTATTTTCTGCCAGATCACAACTAAATACTTCATATTTTAGATTTCGAAGTTTCTGTTTTTTACTAGAATGTTGTTCATATATCATTACACTATTCACATTTCTTCTGCTTTACGGCAACGTTGCACTCACATTTCCTTTTTCTGCTTAGGATTTAAATGATTTTTTAATAGCGTCTCTCCACGGAGTACACCCAAACACTACACACACTCTTGCTATATTTTCACCACAATACACTGTTGTTCACTGCTTTAAACTTGAATATTTAGACAATAACACTGTGTTTACCTACGAAACGTCAAATAATGTTTTGAGCCTGACGTCATTTTCCAATACGCAGACGTGCTCTACAGTTGTTGATTGAGAGCTCATTAAAGAACAGATTTAACTAACACTAGCACAGATACAGATACACTGGAGTACAGTACAGTACATGCCCAACACTTGCCAAAAGACGTGACCAAGGAAAGTATAGAAGAGAGCGCGGCTTCCATGTTTAACCCTGAGGCCTCCGCTTGGCCCGCCATCTAGTGGCCAGTCATAACAAAGAAGAAGAACGATTTTCCTTATTTTTTAAGGGTATACTATGATAGAAAATGAATATATAGCAAAAATTGCGATATATTTCTCTTACTAAAAATTTTTCTTTAGATTTATTTCTTGTACATTAATTATTATTATACACAAGAGCATAGATCCTGTAATGTCAGTCATCATGGATTCATGGCCAGCGCGGCCCAGCTGACAACTTTTCCGCCATTCAATCAGTGCTATCTAGTGGCCAAGCGCACGCACTACGGGGTCTTCTTTAAGTAGTTTTAACACGTCCTTCATCCTTGATACTTTCCTTGGACGTGACCGACCGCCCAAGCGGCTAACAAGCAACAAGACAATTGCAGTAGTTGGTTAGTAGCGAAACCGTGAAAACAATAAAGGCGTCTTGTTAACTTTCCGATTTTTTTATTTTAATAGTCTCTTTTGAGATGTATGCTATTAAATAAAGATTCATAATATTGCATTTATCAAGCAAAACTAGTGAAAAAAGCTGCCTCCTAGAACCTGAAAAAAAGCAACGAGCAATTATTAAAACGTAATACGTTATGTATAAAAAACCTATTAAATATTTTTATACGATTTATGATAAAAGAATAAATATTCTTAAATATATTTTTACTTTCGTATAAAACTATAAAATTATATGAATAATACTGTATACGTAAATAGTAATTTACATTCAATAATAATACGTATTTCAATGGTTAATAGTGTTAACATAGTACCACGTAAAGAACAACTACACTATTCACTATTATTTTACATTGATTTAGACAGATGAACGTAATTTAAATCCTCTCATAACTTCATATACTATTTTATTAGCAGTTGAAGGAGCATATTTATTTGTTTGGTTCATTTTGCCTAATGTATATAAGACGATTTAAAGATCTTATTCGTGGTAGTTTTTTAACATTACTATATTGTTGTGTTGATGTGTGAGGCAAGTGAGTCAAGGGTGAATTTATCAAGTAAGTAATATACTTTGTGGTGATTTTGTTTCTTTTTCAGTGTAGACGGACGAATTAGAATTCCTACCGTGTTTTTAAGTTCAGAATTGGTTTGGTTGGTTTATATAGAATATTTTTTGACATACCATAGTAAGTTGTAGATGCATAATACACTCTTGGTTGTATTGTCTGTGTAGTATAGCAGGGTTATTAACTCTTATATAGGAAGATAGAGCAAAAAAGTATCTTACTCTTTACTGAAATTTGGGTAAATAATCCGTAGTAACCCTACACGGAACTCTTCATTGATATAAGGGTAAATATAAAAATATGGGTCTTCTCGGTTTCATGTAGGCTGTCCAATAATATATAATATGTGTTTTTAACTGTAGATTTTCCTTCTGATTTCAAAGATATAAGGCAGTGGATATTTTGCCGTGGCCGGTTAAGTTCCTACTAATGCTATTTTACCACGAGTATGCTCTAATTGGCTACTCGTCCATTACCGGCAAACAACGCGAGAACTAAATGTGACCGTGATGTAGATTGAAAATATGGCATTAGGTTAGGTTAGATTAGATTATGTTTTTATCATTATAGTAAGGATTTTAAAAGAGGCAGCAACTTTTGATTTTAATTATTAGTATTTTTTTGTTTTCCTCTGTCTACAATCATAAATCACTTGTAGTGGGCAGGGTACAAAGGGTGAGGGAAACTCCGTGGTAAAACGTGGTGAAAAACTGATCATATGACACTGGATGTAAAGAAGTTATTTATTTACCTTAAATATTCTTCCAAAAAATCTACCAAGTCAGCTAGTGTTGACGTCTTCTCTGTTTGTATACAACTGACCTGGTCGGTACATGCGTACTCTCACGTCCACAAAAAGCGTAAAATTACATCATGACACTTCAATAAAGTTGCTTTCATAGTTGCCAGATATCAAAATAAGTACAGGACTTTCTGTTTAATATGGCAAGTTAAGGTAAGGTAAGGTTAGGTTAGGTAGGTTTCTTTAGTTTAAAATACTTACCATAATGATAAGAACATATTGTGAAAAAATTTAACAAATCTACTTTTTAAACTTCTGGTGGTAGCAGTGTTCTCATACACGATCAATTATTTTGTTGGAGAACTGATTTTTTAAAAAGTTATAGTATTTGCTTAAAGAGATCTTCGTTTTCATGCTTGCTGTTCCAAAAAAACTTGGAGAGATATGAGGCAATCATCACATTTGGTTAGGTTAGGTTCAAACATCATTTCTCAGTAAAAAATAATTATCTTTTTGGAATCAACAGGAAAATCTATATTCAGAAACATATACTGTACTATATATTATTCTATGTACTCTGGAAAAAATGGATTTTATATTATTGTGCTTACAGGAGTTGGTACAGCAGCAGTCAGAATGATGATCCTGGAGTCCCACATCTCAGGTCACCGACAGTCATGGTGCATCACGGGTCAAAAAGATATGACTGGAAGCCATGTTTTAGAAGCTTTAACGGAGAGAGAGGTCAGTAGCTGGCCAGGAGAGGTTGGCACACAGCCATCTTATAATACAGTAGATATATACTTACTGCATACATCTATAAGTAATTTAATCATGAAAATTTGATTACACCTGTAGTTTTGTGAGTACAGTACAGTAATGCTTTAAACATACCTTGTGTTTTAGATATTATAGTATGTACTACCGGAGAGAGTAAATTGGGTTGCCCAATGCCCATACCTTAAAATTAATACTGTATTACATTTTCTAATATAAAAGGAAGATTATTATTTAAAAAAAGCTTACATTTGGTGCTTTCTCCAGGGCCAGGTGTCAGATGTGGTGTTGCAGTGTGCAGGTCGCATCCTGTCATCTTCATCACCAGTGCCTGAGGGAGCAACAGTAGTGGCAACTCTCCGTCTCCCTGGAGGAAAAGGTGGATTTGGATCTATGCTTAGGGCAATTGGTAAGGAATTCAATATTCATCCAATTCAAATACAGTACAGTATATATCTTCTTTTACCTGGTTTTCAATTAAATTTTTTCTTTGGATTCGATTTGCACAGCATGAAACCATTTAGGAATGTATCTCTCATGTTAAACGGGGACTATCTGTACACTGTGAGTTATTTGGATATACAGTACTGTACTATACGTACATACTAAAGGTATTACTATATCTTGTGTTATTAAGATAAAAGACCTGAAACTTAAAATTAAACCCAAATCCTGATAGAGATAAGGGTACAATATTCTTTCCTCTGGTTTTCAAGTCGTTTCTGACTTGTTCTTACAGGAGCTCAAATTGAAAAGACAACAAACCGTGAAGCGTGTCGGGACCTGAGTGGCCGACGCCTGAGGGACATTAATGAGGAAAAGAGGTAATGTGAAAGCAAATATCTATTAAATAAATATTAGGACAGTATTGTAAAGAAATTAGAGGAAGGTAAACACTCACATGGGCATTAATATGACAGATGAAATTTTATATTTTGCCTCATGTCACAGCAGTGTTTAATGAAAATTTTTGCAAGTTCACTCATGATGCTTAAATTTCATGACACTTAAATGAAGAATTGTATATTATGATTAGACAGTTTTAAGTAAAATCTTCTGCCAGATTAACCATTCCCACACTTGCCAGCTGAGTGGTGTGGGGTCTGTATCCTTCAGAGGCAGTTGTGTTGTTTGTGCATTTCCGCTCAAGTCATTGTGTCTTGTTTACTTCCCTGACTTCCCATCAGGGTTGGAAAAATCATGATTTAAAAAAAATAAATTAAAAAAAAACGATTTATTTGATTTAAATCGGATTTTTTTATTTAAATCGATTTTTATTTTTACTAATTGCTTTAAAATAGTATTTTCAAACCATAAAAACAGTATTTTTCAACCAAAGCTTATTCAGGATAATAAACAGAAAATTGGCAGTAGATGTACCAATGGAATTTAACACAATAATATTCTTTTTGTAAAATAAAAGAAAACTGGTAACATATCTTACATTTGAGTGCACAAATCCAAACGTAATAATGAAATTTAGCATAAATGCTCGTATAGGATTACAGTGTTTCAAAAATTAATAACTTAACTTCTTCAAGTCAACAGAATAATATTCTCATTTTGTAAAAAAAAATATTACTGGTAACAAGTTTATTTTCTTACATTTGTAGGATTATAGTGTATGAAGAATTACCGGTAATAACTTCAAGTCAACACAATATTCTCAGTAAGTAGAAAATTCAATGTTTGTATCATATTATACAGTACTGTATATTGAGAATTTCTCCCCAGGCTGAAGGACTTTATCAGCAAGAAGGCAGAAAGAGAGAGAGAAGTACTGCAGCGAAAACGTCAGAAATTTGAAAAGTTGAAAGAAACTCCAAAACACATCTTTCAAGATGATTCCTACTATCAACAAAGGGAAATCAGAGAGAAAAATTTGTTCGACTCTTTAGATAAGGGTGAGTATAGTAGGTGTTTTCATTTATTGATGTTTGTTATAAACTTTAACTCTAGAAACAACAGCACAGATCCCAGTCACCTCTCACATAACATAGACATAGAGCTGCTTCTCTGACTTTGTGAACAGCTAAGTTTTTTGTTTGGTTTTTAATTCAGGCACTTACATAGACAGTATACTGTCTTATGTGTTAAAATTACTCGTGTGATTGGTTAGATCTCGGTCCATAAATCTTCTGAACTCATGAAAGACACATGGGAAAGCATGTGGTGAGGTGGTAGGGAAATTGGAATGTAAATACTGTGACAATTGAATTTGTTTTGTTTTGTTGCCATTGTACCAGGACTTCTGATGTGACTCTACCCTTTGTGAGAAATTTATCTTGTGCAAGGTATTACATGGGATAACTTCATGAAGTATGGGAATTACTGTACAGTATAGTCTGCATTTACTCAGTCAATTGAACCCGTGGAGGTCCGCGTAAAACAAGAAACGCGTAAACAAAATAACAGAACATATGGGATCAATTGAAATAGAGACTGGGCCGACCCCCAAACTCCACTTTTTCCAACACATTACGTACCTTGTAGTAAAAATAACATCTTAATTTTATGATGGTATGCACATACAATTAATATTTAAGAGAAATGTCAATAATATTAGGTTTTTTAACACTTACGTTAGTAGAAAAGATGGGTCAGCAAACGTGGATGGCGGCTGGTTCCGAGGCAGAGGGCAGATTAGTTGCCCTCCGGTGAATCACTTTCACTACTCGCAGAGATTTGCAGGGCCTCCCAGACAAGCCCCTCAAAGTCCATATCCTCACTGTCACTATCACTGACCTGGGCTGGCTGTGGTTGGTTGCGGGTGAAGAAGTCCTTAGTTGACGACTAGCATTGATGTTGTCGAGATAGATCTGGATATACGGCTCCATAACTTTCGTCAGATGGTTATTAGACTCTTCATACCGATGCTTGTCTGGGTCGTTGTCAAGGATGAGTTTAATTTTCTCCCCCAACTCGATGATTTCCTTCACACAATCATGGCTTGGTCCAGGTAATTCAAGGTTTTTCTCGGGTGTTGGGGGTCCAGCGGAAGCCATTGTGAGGGGAATAGCAGGCACAAGAGAGAACTGTATACGCGGACTGAGAACAATGAGACTGGCCCGGCTAGGTCAGCGTGAATGCGTGAATGATAAGAATGCGTGGCCCAATCACAGTCCGATACGTCATACGACGTCAGCGATAATGTAAGAGCGGCCTAATGCGCATCCCTCACCGCGCTGCTTCCCGCGTATGGTCAAGAATGGACCGTGTGGGTAAAAAATGGCGCAGCGGTCTGGACCTCTCCAGCCGCTCGCCTCGTAAATGATGAAATTTACAGCGTAATTAAAACATTTCATTCTGGCAAGGCACCGCGTAAATGACCAAACGCGTAAACAAAAACCGCGTAAATCCAGACTATACTGTACTGTATCATTATTGTTATTTTTGTATTGTATTCTTTTGCCGAGAACATTATTATAAAGCGTATTAAAAAAAAAATTATTACAGCTTTTCAAAATGAGAATGGCAGTGGTCCCTCAGGAATCAAGAGACAGAAACCCAACATCAAAGAGAAGGATGAAGTGGAGAGCAAAAGAGGAAGATTCATTGAGTATGTACTGTACTTTGTTTTATTTAGGATGGTATTTATCTTTTTGTAGAATTAATAATGAGTAAAGTACAGTAATAAGAAAGTAAAAGTTAAACTCGCAATATTTAGTTCATCATGTATTATTATTCCTAAATTATTCCTTTTTTGTACCATCTTATGTTGCCTAAACTGGTGTGACCCGTGATCTTTAGTTGTCCGTAAAAGTTACGCCATGTTTTTTTGTTGTGGTTTGAGGTTGGAGATGGACATAAGCTTGGTAAATGTGTGATAGTCTGCTTTTGGAGATAGGGCAACTCTGACTGGAGGATGGATGATATAGGTTGGAAGAAAAATGTACAAGTGTGGTAGCCCCCCTTAAGACTTTCTTCGGTTTTGATTCTTCCAAGGATGATGTATTGGACATTTCTTCATGCTACTGTTTTACATTATAAGTACAGGTATCATTGGAGTTATAGGGATTTACATTATTCAAATCTGAAAAGTATGGAATAATTTTTGAGATATAGAAGCACAATTCCTTCTTGTTTACAGGAAAAAATTGTGGCAACATTAACATCTATGTCTTACCTAATTTAAAGTCATTCGGGCCATGTCATTTCAGATTCTTGCTGCATTCTGTGGTTATATTTTAGTTATTACTAAATGTTTGTCTGTTTCCTCAGTTAAAAATTCTTATATTTAGTCGTATTGTCCCAAACAGTGACTTGGATGTAACAAGTGAAGAAGAGAGTGAGAGTGATGATGAGGCAGCTTGTGAGGTGAAAGAAGACTGCACTCAGAAAGATGAAGGAAACAAACATAAGGAAGATGAAGGTAAGTCCAGTTGTAGAAACACTGATGATGACCATACAGCAGAAGATAAAAAGGATATTCAATGTAATGAAGATGAACATTATCCAGACAAAAGTGGTCAACCTGATGATACCTCAGAAAAGTCTGGCTCTGACACTGCTGAAAAATGAGTGACGGTGTTCCTGCCAGACATATTTTTGTGTACAGTATTTATATTTATATATAGTCAGTAGCAGAAGTTCTTCCCAACCCACCCGTATGATATACGGCAGGTGATCTGGTAACACTGTATTGGAAAGCATTGACAATTATGCTGCTTTGAATGGCTAGTTATTCAAGATTTACAATTGGAGATTGTCTATGATTACATTTCTTGTTTATAAGTTAAATATTATAAATATGTATAATGTAGGAAAATAATGTTATTTAGAAATAAATGACTGATACATCTGGTTCCCCAGTTATGCATCATCCTGCATAAATGTCATATATACAGTACTATTAAATAGAGTACAAGGAGTCTCCCTCCAAGTGAGTGACACATGTTAAATGCCTGCTTAAAGTAATTTTATTCAGAAATACTGGAGATACAGTATATATTTTTGGTGATTAAAATTTCTGTTTAATGGTTACATGTTTTGTTTTGTATGCTGTCCTAGGGTACAATGCTAAAAAACTGATGTGACAGCAATTGCTTTTCAGTACAATTATTTCATAACTGAAAAATTCGAGGTCATAAAACTATAATGTACAAAAAAAAGGAATACTTTATTGCTGTTCTTAGCTTAGACAAAAGAGAACATTTGCATTTTAGGCCACATGAAAAAGCTGCAGTTGTACCTTCGGCAAGTCTTAATGTGTAACAGCAACAATATGGTTATGTTATGCCATTGGACCCTTGATGCTAAACAGCGACACTTTACAAAATGTACAGATAGGTAATATGAGGATCGATGAAAATAAGTCGCCTTGTCTAGAATCAAAATAGACACCAAGAACATTGGTGGGAGAACATTCAAAGTACAAAAAACTATGAACTTTACCCCTGATTCTCTTTATATAACAAGTTTCTATCTTCATCGTCCTCATATAGTTTGTAGCCTGACTGAGATCCTATTATGGTGCACATGAGGCACCTAGCAGATGATAGAGAACATGTAGATTTTAATGAATAATCTGCAAATGTTGCTGAGTATATGAATGGGATAAAACTTTGCAATTGTTGATAAAATATCAGAAATGATTGATACAGCTCATTCCAAAAATAGAATAAATTGTTTAATAACATTAATTTAATGTTATAGCTATATGCACTGAGTTTTTAACACTATCATTAAATTACTAAGATAATTTTTTTTTGTTTTTGATATGGCAGTGAGACATTAGGATAAAATTGGCTGACAATCCAAGATACAAAGTATGAGATAAGTCTCAGGGAACTGACATATAAAAAATATGGGTGAAGCTGCACATGCTAATTACCATCCTGGTTTGAATTACTCTCAGAAAGGAATTTCCTTTTGGTGGGGGGGGGATGAAGGTAGTTAACTCAACTTCCAAACATTGAACATACTATTTGAAGTACAATACATACTTCTTTTAATAACAGAACAGTGAAGCTATGGCTTGCCTAAAATTAAATTTAATGCCCATTAAGAGGTCGCGCCCTCTTCCACAGCAACAAGAAGTGAAGTAACGAAGAAGTATCTACATTAACCAACTTTCAAAAGATGGGAACAATAAGCCTACAACTTTGTGGATTTTCAATTACAGATAATTGGCAACCAAGTGCAGAGCAACACAAGTCAAGATGTAAACCATACATACAGGTGGTCATTGCCAATGTAGGACAATAAGCCTCCAGATTTGCTCACCCATTTGATTGCCATAACATTAGAAGAATGGTTGAAAATTTGTTGCTATTAACAAAAATTAAATATAGAATGTTAAATATTTTTACTGAATTTACCCTGTTCTAAATTTAGAAAATAATGATAGATTAATTTGGCCCTGCTGCATACTGTAAACAGTAACTATTAAATCTGATATAACTTTACAACACTCTGAAGCTGAATAAATGCATAACAGGATAATCAGAGGTGCAGAATCACACAAGTGTAATGTATTACAGTATAACTAAAATATTTGTACGAGACCCCAGGTGGACCGTCATATTTCGACGTGTCATTAAAAAAAGGACAATGGTTAAGGCTGTTATATGCAGTTGCAGGCTGGGTATGTATGGACTTTTAATAATAAAATGAAAACATTCAGTACCTTTTGCAGACTATTCAGTTGTAATGAAAGACCGTTTGACATGACGGAATTATAAATGCAAATTAAATCATTTGTTAATGGCAGTCACTGAAGGACCATTATACCAAAACAAGACGATTTTTGACATTGCCGGGTATTGTGCAGGACTTGTGTTGAGTGAGTAGGATCCTCATGCCTGCAAAGGATTCATAAAAAAAGAATAATCAATGTCAAAGCATTGCTCCTTATAAAATGGCTACACAAAAAATGAGGTAGGACCTAATGAAAATTCTCTCCAAAAATGTGAACATAAACGGAAATGAAAAACTATGAAAATTCAACCGGTTCTGTATAAACAGGGAGGTCCAAGCCAGCCTCAATTGAGAAAACTCATACAATGGGAAGTACCTCAAACCTTTCCAATAAAGCACCCAAGACAACTAAAAAAAATCATCAGCCTAGGCACAAGCATTAGATGAAAATATATGTATTCAAAGTGTATGAGTTTCATATCCACACCATATTTATTTAAAAATCACCCTAAAGGATGTTGACATTAAATAAAACATATACCTTGAATAGAGTTATCATTACCTTTTGTAAACTCTAATCTTTTTGGTATTGTGATGAAGATAGAAATTTTTAGCTATAAATGCCATGGCTTCAACCTTACGCCTAAGACAGGAAGTACATAGATAGTTAAACAGTAAGCTGAAGGAGACATGAAGCAAGAACAATGACTGAGGATAACTCAGACAACCCTGTTGATGCCCACCAACTTAGAGTTTGCCTGTTCAAACCCCTGAACCTAAAACAGAACAAATCCTATTTGGTGGGCAATTTTTTCATACTGGCAATAATCCTTTTTGCAGGATCATGCTGATAATCCATGTGGCTCTTATCACAGTAGTAAATTTAAGTTGTGGTGTTATATGAGTCAATAAGTTCAATCTTGAATATATTCACTGAGTTCAACCAATCACCTGATTATAAGAATAAATGTCAATGCTTGGCACTACCCAATACAATGAGCTTCATAGCAATGAAGATTTAATCTGAATGACAAAGGAACAAAAGCAAACTTGACTAAAATTTCAGTCTAATAACCTTCATGGATTACCTAGTACATGACCTGTTAAAGTCCAAGCTATGTGTAAAGTTACTAGAAGGTCTCAATTTATTTAATTTCGAAAATACTAAAGCAAAGACCATGACCAGCATTAAATATAACTGCAAGAATGACAAGTTGATACCCAGTTGAATCTTATACCTGATTTCACACTTCCAGGGGCATTTTAGACGAAGAGGTGTAAAAAGTCAACATTCCGTACAAAGATATATATTAATGTACATCTAACTTAACAAATTATAACCTCTATTTTTTTTAAATAATTGAGACCTTCCAGCAAACAACCATCAGCTTCAAGCCATGTGTCCAAACAGAAGGTCCAACAGTTTTCAGAATAACAATTGCACATTGTGTTGGTATTTATTTGGTACCTAACTTTATATCTGGCTATTACTTCAAAATATGCAGTAGAAATGGAGATTAACATGAACAAAGGGACGGTTTTAAATAATGAGTCAATCACACACAATTTTTCAATTAAAGCTGCTATTTATTTAGCTAGTGTTATGGATAAAAATGACTGACTTCAATTTGTCCGAATGGAAATTGTACAACAGTCAACCAACCACTCTTTTTACACTGGTTGTTAAGTCTTTTTCAGATTTCTTTATCAGCTTTTATAAACGTTTTTTAAGAAGAAGAAGAAGAAAAAAGACTTATTCAAAAGATTTAAAGTCTTATTTCTCTCCTGAAGTAAGGTCATAGGTCAGATGAAGGAGAACATCTAGTTATGGTTTCAATTATTTTTGATGCACTTTCTTCTGTGTGGTGAGCACTGTCTGTTTCATAGCCTGTCAGAGTGTGATCACAATCTAGAGAAGTATCTAAGCTTGCATTAAGGCTAGTCCAATCCTCAACATGTTCTTGGCTTTGACCATTATCTGCAGTTGAGAGGAGACTATCGACATCTTCTGGTGACAGGTGAGGTGTTTCTGTAGAATGAAATTCTTCATCTAATCTAGGATGGTGGCTAGAGGAACCATTAGTGTGGTTACTGTGAAAGGATTCTTGACTTTCCTCTCTTGGTTCTATTTCATCAGTATCAGATTCTGAACTGTGAGATTTGGTCTCCTCAAATTCATCATCTGGATCATAATACACTTCAGCTCCAGGAAAAATATACTTATGACCACCAGTGTACAGGAACATATTATCTGAAAGGTAAATGTTTTTTTAATTTATTGTAACAGCTATCATTGAATGTCCTACCATCCTTTAATTTTGTGTGTGTAATGATGATGATAAATGTGTAAAAGTGTAGATACATTCAGTGTAAACTAAGCCTCCTTTCAATACACAAGGGAGCAGTACTTAGAAGTTGTTAATAATGATGAAGCATTTAATAATTAATAGATGTACTGTAGAGTCTATCGAGATGAAAGTCTTTTGCAATACTGTATTTAGCTGTATGCCGTCACATTTCTCTATACTGTACTGTACAACTTACCTAAGAGCAGCATAAATTTGCCTGCCTCTTTAAACCTTTGATAATGTACAATACTTCTGCTACTATATGTTCTTCCTCACAAAATGTACATAACAATAGTATGTAATTATTCAGTCCCTACATACATTTTACATTGCCTGTTCATTCTGCCACCTTTCAAATTTTAGTTTTCACACTATACACCATTCAGTTTTATTCATGTTACAGTACATTAATATAAATTTATTATAATATGCAATAAGCACTTAACAAAAGTTCCCTTGTTTTGATTATATATACAACTGTACTCAAGAACTAAAGAGAAAAAGTTTACCTAAGTATTTTAAGAAAAACATTTATATGAGACAATAAATTTTCTCATACAGGGCCGAGTCTCACCTGGTAATCTTGAAGCAACCGTCTCACGAACTTTTGGGGCCCAGCAAGCTCTGAGTGCTTCAATATCACTTTCATCCCGAGGATGTGGAGCATTCTGAGGAGCTACTAATGCAGTTCCTGGAAAAGCATTGGTATCCTCTCCATCAGCACTACTGATATTTATACTGGGTGGCTCAAGTGGTCTGGGTGGTAATTCTTTGATTTCAGTCATACTTTCATCTGCACATAATTTTTTCCATCCATTTCCTAATCTGTAAGTTGGAAAAGGAACATATATTAGCTCAATAGAATAAAATAGAGAGCTTAGTTAGTTTTGCCAAACAAACTATGATGCGACAAAAACACAACAAATATGAAGCAAAGGTTTTAACAAATACAGGCAGTCCCCGACTTACGACTGGGTTAGGGACCCAAATCCAGGTCGTAAGTAAAAAATGCGAAAAAATACGGCTCCTCCCCGACTTACAACCACCCGGACATACGACCGCCTCAGCCGTACCAAAATTTTGTCAAATTACGTATTTTCGAGTCCCAACGTCAGATTTTACGCTGTGTACAGACAAAATTTTCGTTTGTAATTCCCTTTAAAATGGCTGGCAAGCTTAAAAGTGAGAGTTTTGTGGTGCAGAGAAGAAAAATAGACACCCATTTTAGATTTTCTATGTACTGTATTATTTAAGCATTTTTGACTTACGACCTGGAATTGGGTCCCTAACCCCGTCGTAAGTCAGGGAGGAGCTGTACATAGAAAATCTAAAATGGGTGTCCCTTTTTCTTCTCAGCACCAAAAAACTCTCACTTTTAAGCTTGCCAGCCATTTTAAAGGGAATTACAAACGAAAATTTTGTCAGTACACAGTGCAATCACTAACGTCGGGACTCGAAAATACGTAAGTTGAAAGAATTTTGGAAAGACTGTGGCGGTCGTAAGTCGAGGAGTACCTGTATATTAATAATCTGTTCATAATAAATTCAATACTGTATCATCATCAGTATTAATAAGGGTAGGGGCTATTGCTGATCATTTGATAAAAATTAAAGGTTAGTAAATTCTACAGTACAGTATATGAACATAAGATTGAATATTTTAATGTCCAGATCAAGTCTTGAAAGAAATAGGAAGACATTGCAATTAGTACTTGAAGACTGTTTAGATTAATACATGGCATAGAGTGAGAGTGAGAAGTTCACGAATTTGGAAAAAGTAAGGTTCTTCAAGTGTGAATATGCCAAGTTTATCGAAAGTTGTAAAGATATAGCGTATATGAAATTGAGAAGACAAATGCTGCTGTTCCTGAATTAATTGAACAAAACCAGCAGTGATATTGGGACTTTTGTCCATTGTGGTGTTCATTGATGAACTTATTATTGAAGGGCATGTACAGTACTACAAGGATCTGTGGCAAGCCAGGATAATGCTGTAACAGTGACTATTTCTCACTAAGAAAATAGTAGTGATTGAGAAGTAATGGTGCAGGCTATAATAAATAAAATGCATGAAAATACAACATGATTTACAATCGCAAGTCACTAGTGGAAGCAGCAAAGTCACGACCCTCTGCTGGACTGACCAACCTATAGTGCAGCAGACGTAACTCTATTTCCGAGTTTCCTTTTCTATAGAACAGAGCTGTTTCATTTATATTGAAAACATTAATGGGCAATTTGGAACAAACCTGTGACAAAGTTCATTTATTATCACATCACAGTCTCCTAGAAGTTCAACATCAAAGGTGAGATGCCGTAGAGGTTCACGGTTGATCAGAATCTGAGGCACATGTGAAGGAACTGAACCTGTAAGTAAAACAATTTAAATAAGTTTGAATAACATAAAAAATACAGTAATAAGAACTTACAAAATAAAGATCAGTCTGAATGACACTGAGAAAGATTTTTTCTCTTTTCGATGAGGAAAGAGGAACTTCATATACAGTATATCAACATCCAAAATATATAAAATATTTATGATTTTTTATTATTAGTAGCCACAACTTACTAGGAATCAAAGCCACTGGGCGAACTTTTAAGGAGGATCCTATGACAATTAGTAAGTCACATTCATCTTTATCTTCTGCCATTTTATCATGAAACTCATCAGGTAAACCCTCACCAAAGAACACAATATCTGGCTTCATAATTGGTTGGGGTGGAAACTGTGGTGAATCTGAAAAATTCAAGACATAATTGTAGAATTGTTAATGCTTCTGATGGTATATCTTATTGCAATTTGATGCAATACACTTCACCAAAAGAAAATTAACATTATTATTTTCACTATTCCATTCACCATGGGATGCCACTTCATTAAATAGACAGAATAAATCAACAAAAAACCTGCATGTCTGATCACATTAAAATAATACAATTGTTTTTCAGTTGCAATCAACATCTCCATCTTTAGAGATAAATATTCAAGATCAGTCCAGTCCTGCTGCTCACTCACGTTCAATACTTAACACCAAACTTGTAAAATGTTACCGGTATACTAAATCACCAAGAATTTTTTATTAGTCAGCTTTGCAACTAACATAGAAATAAATTCAATTAAATACCTCAATGAAATTTGTCATAAACATTACTATGATACAACTATGTTCTGTTGTTATTATTAGTGTTACTTTTGCAGGAAAATAATTACTGGAGAATCCCCAGTCTAGTGATAAAACACTCTAGATGAGCAAGTAACCTGACGTCCTAATGTCAAGTTTGATTAAAATTAAATTTGAAATAAAAGAATTTGCTGTGCCTATAAAATATGATTAACCCTTAGGCCCCGGGAGACGTTCCAGAACGTCCGCCTATTTTCCCGCCTTTTTTTTTTTTAAGTTGATTTTTTTTCACGATTTAACCCCGCAGGGGTACTGCCAGCAGCACCCTAACCCGGGGCTAAAGGGTTAACGACAGACCCACACTCTCACCACAGAGTCTATTATTTTATGTTAAGATAAAATGAAACCATGTTGAAAACAATTACTGAGATTAATTACATACCTGGCGGTCTGTGAGGCATTAAGTGTATGCTGGATGTTGTATCCTGTTGTGTATTTACAGGTTCATCTTGGCTTACATTCGGGATTTCTTCCTTTACCATTAAGTCTTCATGTCCGTTTTCCTCATTTGTATCACACTGAGTACACCGGGGAATCCTCTGAGAGAAAATATCTTCTTTTATGCCTTGGGCATTGACCCTGTGGTTGCATCTCTGACAAGTAGCTGTGGCAAATGAACCTGCGAATCAAAGATGAGAAAATGTCTTAAATTAACTTTAAATTTAGGATTCTCTATAAAAAATCCACTATGGAAAAGAACCATAAAGTAATAAAAATATCACTAACATGACAACCTAGCAGCTTACCCTCACAAGAAACATGTAGTATTGGAAAAGATTTAAGTTCCATGATACCAAGTACAGTACATACAAGAAATTTATTCAGTTGAATGATAAATTGAAATACAGAACAAGATCATATACAGTAATTATCAATGTGACTCATGGACTCAAAAAGGAAAAATGAGGGGTTAAGGTGAGGAGACGTGTGTATCTTCCCCATACACATAGACATAACCAAATAGATGCTGGTCCCTTGGTCAGAAGGTTCAGATCTAGTTAGTAAGTGAATGGGTGACCCGCCTGCCAGCAGAAAACTGTCATACCACCAACTCATCAATACATAATAAACTATTCCTCCTCCACACTGAGAGGCTTCATCTGGAATGCACCAAATTAGCATTGGTCACATGCAAGCACATGAGCACACACAGTTCTCCCTTCACCCCATCCTTCATTCTTTTTAGTCTTCCCTTCTACCATCCACCATTGACTTATACAGTAGAACGTCTATTCAAACCGATTCAATTTAAGATTATTGATTTAAAGCGACACCCACAATTAAGGACAATGTTTTAATTTAAAGTGAATCTTTCCTATTTTGCTTGAGTCAATCTGGCGCATCATATTAAAATTTTGCGCCTAATGTTTCTCTGGGCACGCTACACTGTCCTAAGGACAAAGCTATACTGTACATGTACTCAAAATAATGTACTAAATGATTACAAAAATTTTTGTCTTGTGCAAACTATAGCATGTTTATATTCAAATTAATCACTATCTTTTAAGAATTCCAGCAATGTAAATTATATTCTCCCCAGTCACTTCTGTGACATTTCATAAACAAAAAACATAAACTCAAGCTAAGGGACATAAATAAACAAATAAGTACATCACTAGACCTTCAGTGCCAACTGTCAAACATGTCACTGTCACTTCCTTCCCCATCTTCCCAGCCAGGGTTTGGTGTTTTAGGCTTAAAGTTTTTATCTTATATATAATGTCACAGACTAAAGTTAGGAGAATATAATTTGTATTGCTGGAATCCTTGCAAGACAGCATATAATTTGAATATAAACGTCATGTATTTTGCTCTTTGTACTAAAATTCTTAAATTAGAACTAAAATTTGTATGTCTAATGCGAGCTATAGCATGTTTATATTCATTTTAATCACTCTATAGCGTGTTTATATTGAAATTAATCACTATCTTATAAGAATTCCAGCAATGTTAATTATATTCTCCCATGTCAGTTCAATGACATTTTATAAGAGAAAAACTTAAAGTCACTCTTAAGGACAGATAAATAAATAAGCACTAGACCTCGGCATCAACTGTCAAACATCACCTCACCTCCCTCCCTCCCCCCCATCTTCCCAGCCAGTAAACAGATCATTTTGCATCCCTTAATTTTAGCTGTGTTGATTTATGAGTGTTTGTTTTAACATGATACTACAAAAAGCAATGTTTTGTTTATTCTAAGAGATGGGCTGAGGTGCATCTGGGCAGACTGTCAGTCTTTTTAGTATTTTGTATTTCTTTCAAGTACCAAACTAAATTATTCCATTGAAGCAACACTTCAATTTAGTGCCAATTCAGTTTAAAGCCACCTCTCTTGGAAGGTATCTCAACTTATACCAACGTTCTACTGTACTCTATTTTTGGCCTAAAATTGTGTGCTATTAGCAGCCAAAATGAAGAACCTCAGTTGAACACGTGAGTCAGTTTTCTCCACAAGGAAGGAATAAGCTTGAAATTTTACTTACCGTGACATTGAATGACATTCTCTATCCCTGCTACTTGTTCTAGTGTATCGATGTTCTGGGTGTAATTCCGTAATAATTTGTTGTGTTGTTCTATTAGACGAATAAATCTGAAAATTGCACAAGGTCAATCAGAAAAATTAAAAGAACAGTACAGTATATTTATGTTATGCACTGTATGATTTACCATATACAGTATATACTGTATTATTATTTTTTTACTTTTCTTCTAACAAATGGGCTTTCTTATATTCCCTATACAAGGATACAACTCCAAGTGGATTAGATTGAGCCAGCTAGATTTGTTTATATTCCACATCTTAACATAACCTAAATATCTAACACATGGTGCCACTGTAGGAGACGACTACTTCTCGTATACATAAAATTCAATCTTAGCATGAAAAGAAGAGGTACAATACTCATTTCATATTTATATACAGTACGTCCAGAAATACGGACAATTTAATGAAAAGACCTACGGTAAATGGAAGATGAGACGTTACACAGAAACTAATACAAGATATCTTGTACAAAGCTACACAAACACACATACAAAACTTTCCCCTTTAGTGGTAAAGTCCTGCACAAACCAATAGGTACAACTAAGGGCTCCATTCACATTCAGGCCTTTCCATCTAGCCACCTGTTCAGGCCAGTCTCACATAGAAAGTGTCGCTCACACATGATTCCATCTAGCCTCAAGATCAGAGCTCAGTTCTCAGAGGGATGTCATCGTGCATGGACAGCCATGGCCGTTCCACGTACCACTCGTGAACTAGCAGCTGAAACTGTTGCAGCTGCCTATACTGTATATCAAGAAGAGAATAAGAGGAATAGAAAGGACACAAAATGACCAAAGAGTGGTTACAGTAAAGGGACGAGCTATCCCATTTGACATTACTAGAAAAATTGAGATTTGTGAAAGGAGATTGGTTCAAGTACTTGAGGATGGAGGAAGAAACAATCCTGAAGCTATTGTCTTTAGTTTCTCAAACGATAAAAAAAAACAAGATACCTGGATGCGGAAGGCCAAATCTTGACATGAGAGATTGTCAGCTACTTTGCAATTTCTTGCAACAGGTGGCTCCTACATTTTTTCTTTCAATTTAACACTTAACAATTTATGGGCTACACTCTATTTTCACTGTATGCATAATCCTTCTTCTTTATTTTCCAGACATAGATTCACCCTATAAATATTGATGAATTCTGTCAAAAACTTTTTCTTCTGAGGCATTCATGGCAAGACGTTTGTTTAACCACCGCTGCTGCTAGAAAACCGAGTGCTGGCCTGAACTGTTGCCCACACACACACACATAAACTGGCCAGAACCTTATGCCAACCGAAGCAAAAAATCTATCAGTGAGAGGTCCAGTGGCGACTGGAGAGGCCACCTGAACTGGCCAAAATCTTGACCTGAACCACCCTCACACACGTGCAGTTTTACCTGAACAGGCCAGGCTGTGCAGGCAGCCAGACAGGCCAGCCTGAGTGTGTACGAGGCCCTTTAAAATTTGATTGAATACAGTGTAAAGTGATACTAAGTGGATCTGGTGAGTTCAACCAAAAAGTGTCTAAGTCAGTCAGTGACAAAGTGGTATTGTTAAAAACTAACTTGCTTAGAGAAATGCATTACGTGGCCAGTAATAAATACACTTTACAAAATTAGGTAAAAAATATTTGCTCTCAACAGTATATCAAGCAAAATGAAATCCAAAAATGGTCTTTACCCAGAACAGGCAACCTAAAGAAAAACTTTTAAAAATTACCTGTGACAGAGAGACGGAGTAAACTGTCCAGGGTAAATCTCCCGGGCAAATTTGAAGAATGGGCGGGGGTCTCGTCTGAAGTAGTGTATATCAAACATTGCTTGTGGATCTGGTAAATCAGGGAAGTCAATGGCAAGCCGGGCGTAAATTCCATCTCTACTCCTAAAGTCCGGGATGCCACAGGAAACTGACACCTGGAAATAATAGTCCATTAATTGATTGTAAATGTTAATATAAACTTTTTATTACCTATAAGCCAAGTGAAACTAAAATTGATGAATACAGTAACTCTTGATAAAGTCCGTGAAAACTGGTACTTTCAGTTTTTATGCTTATACTGTATCTATGATTTACAGTACAGTTCTGTATTTTAATTAATCTGAACTTTCTTCATTTTCATTAATATACTGTACTGTATATATCCACAGAATTAGTTAAATTACACACTACCATACAAAAAATTATACCCAGGGTGTTGGCTTGCAGATGAAAAATATTTTAATATGAACCTTTTGTATTCCTATTACCTAAAATATTTGGTCTTACAGTAGAGAAGAATCTCAATAGAGAAACACCTTATACAATATAAAGTCATCTGATAAAACATTGTATCCTAATTGAGAAAAATAAAAATGAGGTCTATTAGAGCTACCAGACTAAAATCTGAGAGAGAAAAGGGGGATATAATAGAGATCCTGGTGTCAGAAAATGTTTGTGTATGTCGTAGAAGTTAACAATGTGATGCCATAACAACTGACCCCTGCACCAGTCAGGACGATGATCTTCCGACAGGACTTCATTAATCTCACTACGTCTTCGATTGTATTGATATGACGTAATTTTTCTCTTCGAGGTGGCTCTGATAACATGTTCACAATCAGGCGCCAAAGTGTCACATCAGGAACTCCCTCGGGAATCGCAGTTGTGGCTCCGAGGACGTGGGTAAGGATGGTACGTGGGTTAACCCCGCGCAACATTTGTTGTTGGACCCAAGACATTGGACCTATAAATATGAAATAAATATAGTTTTTAGTTAACACTCATAAAATTTTGACATCAATATCCCAGTTAACTTTGTTACCATATAGATAACACCCCAGTACCTGTACCAAATTGTAACATCCCTGAAATGATACCTAACCAGTGCTGGTATAACATTTATGAACGGATGCTTTACCAGCGAGTGTATATAATATTTTTGAACTGATGCTCACCCAATGTAACACTTCTAAACTTAATACAATCCTGGAAGTAACTTCAAATTTACCTGAAATTCATTTTTCATCATTCCTTTTCTTGTAATTAAGAATGACACACTGCTACAAGTGTGAGAATAAGGTAGGTAATACTATTAATAAATAACTGTGGCTTCTTCTATTGCACCCATAGAACAACTACCCCAATCTAATCTTTTAATTTCAAGAGGTGAAATTTGGTGAATGGCTGACCTCAATATTGCACTTAACAATACAATATATGATCAGGATGGTTGAGGGCAATGTATCGACTACTACACCTTCATTACCATATCTCTTACAAAAAACATTCTTTTCTGAAGAACTCTTACACTTTCTTACTTTTACGAGACAAATTTCAGAAAACCGAACACGATATGTATATAATTTTTCAACAATAAAACAATACATTCTCCTCCATATAGCCCCTCAATACATATCTCCCCAAAATAATAACAAGGACTAATATTATACACTATTACTCACCAGCACAAGGTTTCCAATCCTTTCCAGAGAAATTAGAAAAGTCCGACAGTCCACTGAGGTTAGACGTTGTTGATGCCACGGACTGTCTGTCTTCTTCATCCTCGTCCTCCTCCTGACTAGTTGCTGTTCCATTGGGCCAATTTTCTGAACAGTCGATGATTGAGCTGTCATTGGTATTATCATTACTTAAGTGGTTTTCGATTCTACCAATGTTTTCATCTTGACTGGAGCTTGTTCTTCTGTGGAGAATGTTACAACATCAAGACTATTGGTAGTTTAAAGAGGAAATTTCGCCTTGCAGCCTATCCATATACTGTATAAACACACAAGAAACTATGAAAATTAATAATTGTTTGAAAAATTTATTACAGTACAAAAGAACTTCTGTATTTCTAGTAACCTGACTCTTCGACTTACGGAGTTGTTATGTCATCCTCCAAGCTTTGTGGTGGTGTAAGTTCATTGAATCCAGAATCTGAAGTGATCGTGAACTCTGCACCATTACTGTAGCCCCCTGGAAAAAAATATATATTCATTATACTGTCTTAAACTACTTAAAGATTCATTATTTAAGTAACAATCCTGGAAAATATCTGATGGCTTTGTCAGCTATCCTTGGTCAAATTGCCTTACGGTTTACTATTGTTGAACTATAAACTGCATTGTCTGGGTACATTGGAAATTGTATCCATGGTCTATATACACCATATACTGTACTATACCTGCATTATCTATACACATGCTGAACTGTATACATGCATGGTCTTTATACATGCCAAACCAAATATAAGCTTGTATGATTATTGTACTGAATACATTGCTACCTTATTTTATTTTTAATTTATGTACATCAGATTAAATGTATATTTAAAATAGCTTTAACTGGTATTATTTCAAGTACAAGGAAACATTCCGTGGTAAACCATTCTGAAATCCCATAGCTGACTTCCCTTCAGTCTATACAGTTTGCAGTCTATACTATTCAATAATCAGGCTGACATATACAGCAAGTGAATTTCAAACAATGAGAACACTCTAAAAATAAGAATAGCCAGAAGAACTCATCTTATTAAAAACGGATTTGTCTACGAAGGAACAAGCAAAAAGCATATAGGTAATAACCAAGTGCTGTTGCCAGACAAAAAAGTAGATGATTAGTACAAATTTCAAGAATAGTGATAAATGAAAGAAAACATTACTATTGATTCACATAATCTGTGGAGCATTAATAACAATATTACATACAGTACATTTCAAGAAAAAAATAGTTTTATATCTGTAAAATATATCCTAGCTTATACTTTATCTCCATTTTTTTTGTTCATTCATTCCATACTGTAAATTTTGTCTTTCTATTTCTTGCAAAGGTTAAACTTGTTTTCCTTTACTGAACCAACATTTGAAAATTATCTTAATAAACTGAACCCTGTATTGTACCAGTAATTTTCGTCAGTAACCTTATAAAATGTAACCTTCATCATCCTTCACACTAATATTACCTGATGGTTTTCTTTATCAATTTGCGACTATACCCTGTAGATGGGTTAAAGGACGGGACAAACTAAACCTTGTGATATATTTTTTATTCTTAAGAACAAATTCACAAGTTATGGTATGAACTAAATAAGCTACATATTAGTTTGCGACTCATCAGAAGTTGCTCAGTCCTTCCAACCCTGCATGGCCAACTACGATACGGAATTTACCCTCCTCCAATAATTTTAGATCAAACTACATTATTCATTCATAATATTCTACAAGTACTTGGCGCATAGATATTATGAAGGAATATTATCATATCTACTTGTCATCAACATCCGATTATTATACATTAACAAGAAATATACCCAAATTTTGCCCACTGTTTATGTTTGACATCTTCCTGGTTCTTTAAATAACGGATAATTGAATATTTTTTTTTTAACTTTTACAAATCCTTCAATTATGAAATTTAACTTGATAAAAAATATATCACCAACATTAACATCATTCCTTTATAAAACTAAAAAATAAAAATACATCGCATTATTTTTTTAGGTGCGATAATAAGAGGTTGACTGTGCCCTTTAAACTTCCCGCTATTGTCTTATAAGGTATATTAATAAGTGAAGTAAAGAGGAGCTAGAGGTGTGAGGGAGGGCGCGCGCACCACCTGCTGGCCGACACACAACCTACTGGATCCTCCTCTTGTCTCCTCCCTGATGCTCACTTGTTCCTTTGTTAAATCCTAATGACTGAAGTGGGCGTATCGATCAAAGTTTGACATTTTGGAGTAAATTCGATACAATTCGGAGTATAATGATGTAAAAAAACTAAATGTAGCAAAATAAAAACAGCATAAAATTCACAGCACTGTGGAAATTACCCAAAGCCTTAAAAATGGGGATATTTAAGTGCGCGCGCATCCGCCATCTTGGGTTCATCGACTGGTTAGCCCCCGCCAAAATTCTTACTACATTTAAGTGAAAATAAAAAAATAATGCAGGAGTTTTCACTTACCTGTAAGTAGCTCCGATGTTCCTGCAAAACAATGGAAGTCACTGTCATATTGTTGGGATGAAGTATCCTCTGGGAAGTCCAGTCTAGGTCGTTTTGCAGGCACAGCGGACTCCATCCCGTACGTTCGGTCCGCCATTGCCGTGCCTCATGGGTGACGTCACGCTGCGTTGCCAAACCTGCCATCGCGCCTAGTGCGGCGAAGGTCAGCTGCGAGGTTACCATAGTGGAGACGGAAGACCTCACTACCTGTGCCCACCCAATGGCCATTGATTATAGATATCACTTGAAAAACATATTAACAATATATAAATCGTTGTCCAACACAAATATAGTTTTAATAAAGTTATTAATTGCTTTGTGGCTTAGTGGCTCTTCACGATATATATATATATATATATATATATATATATATATATATATATATATATATATATATATATATATATATATATATATATATATATATATATAATATATATATATATATATATATATATATATATATATATATATATATATATATATATATATATATATATATATATATATATATATATATATATATATATATATATATATATATATATATATATATATATATATATATATATATATATATATATATATATATATATATATATATATATATATATATATATATATATATATATATATATATATTGCTGTATATGCACATTGCTATTATAATATTATAATAGTAATCTATATTTATTTCAATTAAGTGTTAAATAAAATACAAGAAGAAATAACTAGCCTAATAATACTATATACGACCAAATTCCTTTAATATCTTACATTAAATCTGTATATAGAATGTTATAACAATAAGTCGAATTATTTAAATAGGTTGCAATAAGGTGGTGAGTATGCACCTAATTATATAATGTCTGTGTTTTTTCAGATTTGTCTAACTTAATTACGTCTAAACAGCAAAAGAGATGTCTCACCCCAAACTGACCACATGGTGACACTTTTCTCTAGAGTTTAAAGTACATTATGATTTTTTTGCGTACAGCTTACATCCCTCAGTAAGCATATGAGGGCCTGCTAGGGCGGGTTCAGTCATCACCAACAGTACATGACGTATACGTGGTAGGTTAAGAGTTATCCTGTCCTACACTTGTTTAACTTTTCGTTTAGGTCATCCGCTTAAATATTAAGGAGATAAAGTGACTATGTGCCGCACTGTCTAGATCACTCACTATTTTTGTATTCAATTTACTAGTCTGGGTTGGTTCGTCCAGCGTTACAGTAAGACACAACGCAACTTGGGAGTCCAAAGAGAACTTATAGTACATACCCACCAAATTATCGGGTATAAGCAGTCGATGACATACAGTGGTAGGCCCCTGACAGTCGAAGTAATATAGTAGTTGTGAGTCAATTTGCAGAAGTCCAGGACATCTTCAACCTCAGAGACTTTCCAGATGGGTCTGCATGTTATCTTATTGCAGAGATAACATTATGTCTGCTGACCATAAGTAGGAAGAAGGGCGGCTGGACATAATATTTTTTACTGCAGGAGATGCAATATACAGGAAATGTTGGGGGGTTATATACAATTACTCCCTTTAATATTAATAGAAAAAGGAAATAAATTGTAACAAAGAGTCCTTGTAATTCACTGTCGGTAGTGCCCGACCAGTAGATGTCTGCGTCCGACTCAACCTGTTGGCTGAGAGGAAAAGAATGTGTTGGGTTATCCTACCAGACCCCAGCTCGTGTCGAGGGAGCAGCCAAACACCCTGTTTTATGATTTCTTACTTTAAAACATAAAATAAAATACACAGGTCAAAGTCGTGTTTCTCTTTAACCCTTTGGTTGGCTGGGGTTTCTTACAGATGAATAAAATCGTCTTGGGTTAGCCAATATAGAATACCTAAGTGCGCCGCTGCCCTCTAAAGGGTTAAGTTAGGAGGCTGGCAATGTTTACCACTCACCAGACACACACACCCACTCGAATTGGTATTGTGACTCAGTGTTGACGTTAATAATTACGGCAGGTTATTATTCTTGCCTGTGATTCTACCGCCTCTATCCTCAGCACACAGCTGAGAACACTCGTTATTACCAGTCCAGGGGTCACGGTTGTCGCTCGCTCAGGACACGTGTTTAGACTAAGCTGAGGCATTGGGGGTCTTCCATAATAAAATCATGTGTTTACAATCAAGCACAGCAGGTTCTCTCGCATTGTGCTGATGGGTGCAGTCTCAGCCAGCTTATTTTATGAGCTAGCCACTGAAATGTGTGTGTGTGTGTGTGTGTGTTTACATAATTATTAGTACATTAAATATTTGGTTAAGGGTAAAAAAGGTCTAATGTATTAAATAATTATGCTATTAGTCATACCCCAACGAAAGGTAACTAGTTTAAGTTGGTTAGGTTTAAATTTCTTTGTAATATAATTTAGAAAAATCAAAGAAAGTACACTAGCATTCTTGATGCATAAGTATTCAGTTATGAGAGGGTAGACGGTAGGCAGCTACCACACAGGGATATACTACTGCCTGGGAAGTTATTGGAAACAAAATGTGTTGTCTAATGGTAGACCCTGCTGCCATATGGCATCACGAAAATTGTGACCAAGTCCCAGGTTGCTGATCTGTCTTTCTGCCTCATTTACACACAATTGCAGGGTCTCAATTGTTTCTCTTACTTTGACAACACAACATATATATATATATATATATATATATATATATATATATATATATATATATATATATATATATATATATATATATATATATCGTTTCTCACTAATGATTTTTTATTTCTTTATTATTATTATTATTATTATTATTATTATTATTATTATTATTATTATTATTATTATTATTATTATTATTATTATTATTATTATTACATTTTCGCCCACCAGGCCCCAATATAGGTCAGTGACCTGTGCCCGGGTGGGCTAATCAAAAAAAAAAAAAACGAACAGAAACCTTTCTGAAAGATAGAGAGGTGAGTCGTACACCTACTTCTGTCATTGTTGACTTCAATGTTCATTAGTTTATATGAACGCTTTTTTATTTAATGTATTTAGTACTGATAATGTTCCACTCCTTCGAATTGCTAGTTAGCATCAGAGTATCATTAGAATATATAATTATGATGAGCAGGATACTGTTGTTTTCTAGAAAATATAGGCCGGAACTTTGAATTTTTTAGTCATTATTTCCTTTAAGACCACCCATGACTTTTGGGAAGAAATTATGTTGTTCCTGTATTTTTCGATGTGTTTTGAAAGGATTTCATATTAATTCTTGGGTAAATTCAAGCAAACTTTACCAACCCAACCCAAATTGTATTTCAAAAACACTCCCAAAATGAACCTGACCTAACCTAACCAAACCTGACCTAACCTAACCAAACCTAACTTTATTTAACTTAACTTGACCTAACTAACGTAATTTTACCTAAAATATCTTTACTTAAATCATGTAAGGCGCAATGGGATTAATGTGTTTGCTACTTCCCAGCAGCTTGGCGTAGCCACCGTCGCGGAGGATCCAAGTGAGCTAGTCCTCTATTCCTTGGTCTAGACTCTGGACTCTAGAGTCTAGACCGTCTAGGCCGAGGTAGGTAGGCCTTCAAAAATACGTAAATAAAAATTTCATTTTTATTTTCATTAGCGTAGATCCTCTGGAAGTGAGGCTACCTGTATCTCCTTACCTTGGTCTAAGCGTCTAGCTCAACCAGTCTAGGCAGTCTACTTGGTGGAGGAAGTGCGTAATTTTAACTGCTCCATCTACACACCCGAAGGTAAGTGTATTTCCTCAATAGTTTTAGCCCTGGGGGTTTATGGTGGCTATTCTACACAGCTTTTATATTATTATATTATCGTCTTAAGCTCTACACCATAATATTTTAGCTGTAGGAGGTGTAAATGCTTCTATTAAGCTAATGAATGATCCATTTGCCGCTTCATCTCACGGTCGGTTGATGGTTTTGATATGACATTACGGTGTAAAGTTATAAATATTTTTTGCGTTAAAGGGATAGTAAAACTTAAGTCGCAAATCTTTAAGTTACTATTTATCTTAACTTTATAGCGAGGTTCCTTCTATTTTTTTAGCCTATGGTTAATTTGTATTCCCATGTTTTACAAAAACTTTTTTTGAATTATTTCGCAAATTTTGTCTTTAAAAGCGTGATTAATACAGTAATTGAAAGCTGGCCTTCTATCATCAAGTTAAATTTACAAACTTGACAAACTTCGTTATCATTTCGGTAAACTATATACCATAACGGCAATTCAAAATACTGTAAAACTGTGAAAAGTTACTATTTTTGCAGAAAAAATGTGTTAGGACATTACAATCATTAGAGGAGCCAGCATGCAGCCAAACCACTAACTCTTTATAACTTAGCTCTCATTTCCATTATGTACGATAAAATTAAATAGACTATAATATAATCTTGATGATTTTTTTAAAGTTAAAACTTTTTTTACGTTGACCAGGGTACGCTATTCAAGTATTCAACAACCTTTATCTCATAAAAAAAAAATATTATTCCACGCCTGCACTGTAAGTCTTTGGGTAATTGGTGATCTGTGCTTTTCATTACGAATAATATCATAATGATAATAATAATAAAACATTTGACTAATACTTGTACAAAGAAAAATCGGAGTCAATTTTGAAACCCCCCAACCCCCTTCCCGGCATAATCCTCCAGAATGATGCCAGATATTGCTAGTGTTGAGGAACTTCTATTTGGAACTACAGTACATATGTAGCATAAAAACTGCTGCACCTGCTAGCTCAGTGGGTATCAACAAAAGATTGAGAATATTTCTGACTCAGCATATATAGTATATTTGTGTAACAGCATCATATAGCATTGCCAGAGACGTCATTCTATTTCAGGGGTCCTCCACGAGGATAATAATATTACATTTTCGGGGATACAGAAGAAGTAATAGAAAGGCTAAGATAAAAAAAATAGATGCGAAAACAATATCGAAGTTTGAACACCTATCGGAGCTGCAGTCCTACAGTGTTACCAAATTATTTTAAGCACTTCCAGAATAGCAACAGATGTATATGGTGGCTGGTCAATTCAACCCCACTGTCCCCTGGTCAACACCACCCCCGCCAACTTGAACCTGGTCACCCTAACCCCTATCAATTCGACCCCCCTCTCAACTTTTCCCCCGTCAATCCAATCCTTGTTATTTCAACCTCGGTCAACTCAACCCCTGTCAGCTCCACCCCTGTCAGCTCCACCCCTGTCAGCTCCACCCCTGTCAGCTCCACCCCTGTCAGCTCCACCCCTGTCAGCTCCACCCCTGTCAGCTCAACCTCTGTAAACTCAACCCGAGATAAACTCTTCGCCCTCTCACCTCAAATCCTGTCAACCCATCACCCTGTCACCCCAACCGCCTACCAACTCAAACTCCGGTCAACTCATCTCCCTGTTACCTCAACTCCTGATCCACCCATTCAATCCATTTGTTTATTTGGATCTAGAAAAACAATAAGGGCGGTATAGCTGGAACGTGAAAAAAAATGTGATCTTAGCTATAAGGACATCCCACCTTAACCTTTTTAATTAATTTACCATATTTCACATTTTCGTATATATACTTACATTAATTCCTCTGTTTGATAGCATATTTTTACTGTACTAAGTTTACTTCATTCTCTTCGCCACTAATTGGCCCTGCTAGCCGCTTGGGTGATCGGTTACGTTTTTTGTTACTGTATAAAACATACTCAAATAACCCAGAGATGCTCAGAATTTTTTTTTACTGCGATTCATAAATACAGAGCAAGACGTATGCGTTAGCCTGTATTCCTTGCATTCAAACAGACAAAATGTACTAATCCAAGTTTCTGATAAGTCGATTTCAAACATTTTCATGTGCTCTGATTTTTTTCCTTTAAATAATAACTGCATGTAGGGTAGCTCATGAACTCGTCCGCGGTTATGTATGTGATGTAATTACAGTACCTCCATTCTCCCAAATTTCCACATTTTGCATAAGAGCAAACATTACCAAAACTTTCCTAGCTTTTGAATTTTACCCTGTCGGATGTCGCTTTTACCGCCACATTGCATTTTCCATAACTAATTAATGTTTTTATTTTTAAGATAATATAATATTTATCATTATATTAATAGCAGGGGCATAAAAGAGAAATCGAATGTCTGGGGAATATCGGGAGACTGAGTTGAATGAGTTCCCCGTTCACAAGGCGCCATATTTGATTTGTTCCCCTCGTCTTCATATGTGTTATTTATCCCGTGGCAGCAACATTTATTATTGTCTGCTTCTCACATCTGGCTGGTGTTGGGGTAGGTATTAGCCTTAATTGGTCTTGTAGATTGTTTTAATAAGACATTCATATAAACAAATGAACCGAGTCCGAGAGACTTTTGCAGGGCGGTATTATAGTCTTATATTCCCTCGGCTTTATGAATCATTTATTTTATGAATTATTTATTTTTTGTTTCTAAATATGTTAAAGGTTATCGGTTGTTGAATGTTCCCGCCAATGTTTTTGTTACAGAGTAATTGATAATACAGTAGGAAAATTTGTACTGCATAAGCACTTTATAGATATTTGACTAACTTGGTTTTGATGTTTAGTCGGGGACAAGTTCGTTTCTCCGTGGTGAGACTGAATCACGGGAATGAGTCTTCGAACTGACTTACCCGGACTATTGCATCTCGTTTAGGGTCGATGCTACTTCATTTTGGGAGGGAGTGAACTTTTGACCCCGACTATACATTACTACTGTATTTATCCGCGAGGCTAATTTGTTGGAGGTGTTTAGACTGCTTACAGTTTGAATTAAGGTTTTGAATAAGAATATTTTAAATTGCAAGCAGACTCACAACTGAATACTTTCGGATCAAGAATGCCATAGTACTTTGAAATTTCTAAATTACATCCCGAAGAAATTGAAACCTAACCAACCTAAACTATAATTACCTTTAACTGGGGTGACTAATATTTTAAATACATTAGATTTTTTTTTACTTCTCACAAAATATTTATGGCACTTAATGATTATGTAAATACTGCACACACACACACATTTAAATGGTTAGCTTTGTTCGCTGAAACTTCATACATCATTACAATAAGAGAATATATATATATATATATATATATATATATATATATATATATATATATATATATATATATATATATATATATATATATATATATATATATATATATATCCCGTGTGATTTTATCAAGATTTATCTTATCCACGTTTTCATTGTGGATTTACATGAAATATATATATATATATATATACATATATATACAGCTCCTCCCCGACTTACAACCTACTCAACTAACGACCACCCACACTTACGATCTGCCTCAGTTGTACCAAAATTTTGTCAAATTACGCATTTTCGAGTCCCAACGTCAGTACAGACAAAATTTTTGTTTGTAATTCACTTTAAAAAGGCTGGCAAGCTTAAAAGTGAGAGTTTTGTGGTGCTGAGAAGAAAAGGAGACACCCATTTTAGATTTTCTATGTATTACTTAAGCATTTTTGACTTACGACCTGGATTTGGGTCCCTAACCCCGTCGTAAGTCGGGGAGGAGCTGTGTATATATATATATATATATATACATATAACGAATCTAATTGGTTCTAGAACCTTGTTCGTTATAGCATTCGATTGTTATAGGATTAATCCGTTCCAGGCCCCCAAATACAACCACTTAACACTGAAAAATATAATATAAAATTGTAAAAATTGTAAAAAAGTGCATAAATATGCATCCAAACCCCTAAAATAAAGAATATCATTAATACTTGTATTAAAAAACCCAATTAGTAAAAAAAAAAAAAAAAAAATGTTCGTTGTAGGAGTTTCGTTCGTTATAGCATTCTCAATTTCATAGGTAAAACCGTTCGTGTTATAGGAATATTCGTAGTAGGATCCGTTCGTTATAGCATACCCCACTGTATATATATGCGATTTTTTCCGGTATGAGGAAATTCGTCTTCATACCTGGAAATGCTCTGCACCAATTATTCTAACAAATGGGGAAATTGGTATTTTCTGGTTACAGTCATACTCCTGTTAAGGATTATAAGCCCTCAGGTAGTCTCTTGATAGATCACACTGCTACAATAAGTAAATAAATGGGAAACACTAAGTGGGGATAAGTAAACTGCAGAAGATGAATATGTTGGTGAATATATTTATAAACCTGAAATTTCTTTACAACAATGCTCCAGTTAATATACCATTTCCAATCCATATATAATGCAAAAAGTTAGCTGTCTTATCACACCGACATACAACCTTTATCATGTAAATGCCAATCTTACAATGAACCTGAGTAACAAAATTTTAATATGGACATACTGTACAGTAGTTTGTCATATTGTTGTCATTTTCAACAGTAAATATATAGCACCAATTCAGGCGCTGAAAACTTGCCAATAACACCTGAATTATTCATTAAAATACAGTACTGTACTTAAATGATTTTGTTGCCTTAAAGGTTAACTCCAATCACATACTTTTTTATATCATTGGTACTTTAACAAAAATTAATAAAAAATTGAAGAAAAAATAGTTCAAACAATTAAAAAGCAAACAAATTTTTTTCCAGAAATTTGCTAAAGACAAGACATCCTGAAGTCATAAAAAAATTATATCTAGAAGGCTCACAGCAGCTTTATGAAGGGGTTATAGTTGCTTTGGGATAGTTACAAGTCAAAATTTGTTTCTACAAAATTAATGAATACAACACAAATTTTCATGGGCATTAAACAGTATATTGCAACCTAAACATTTAATCCATCTCTTACATTTGTTGAGAAAGCACACAATTTTCACCGTTCACACTCCACTATGATCATTGTCAGATGCCTAATTTTGTAAATTTATATTTTATGCAATATAGTAGAGAACTGATCTATTTAAAATATATTGTACTGTATTGTACTATACTGTACAGTACAGTATTAGATTTTGTGGGTCTCATGAAGATTAGGAACCCATGTTTATTTTACCTGATGATTATTAATAAAGTGAAATCAGTGAAGGTTCCTAATCTTCTTAAGATGCCATTTCTTAAATTGTAATTTTTAATATACAGTATCGGTAACTTCAGTACAATGATCTAGAATAATTGGAGATGGAAACTGTTATGCAGAAGCAAAATGACTAACATCTTAACAACACCTTCTTCATAATGTTTACAGTGATGTCACAGCCATTTGGGGGTTTGTTGGATGCTTGACAGAGTTTGTCTTTCAAGTGGTTATTTCATTATTTATGGATATGAATACAGTATATTTAATTAACATAAGGTTTGAAGCTTTTAGGTGCACCTTATTATATAATTTTCCTCTGGAGTTCTCCTTTAAGTGGAACAATCACCATTAAATGGCCCAAATAAACTGGACAAAGCATCCCAAAGCAAGCATTCTGAATGTTTAACAAGTTTGCATTTTGTTTTCACAGCCTAAGCACCTATTCCCAAATTAACTGCAAAATTTATGTGTAATATATCCTTAGAACCTATTAAACTCCTTGTGTTAAACTAATAATTATAAAAATAAAACAACCTCAAAAATGTGCATTTCTTTTTTGTCCATCCAGCCAAAGAAGGATATCATGATTGACGTAACTGTCAGTTTCTAAATCCAGAAATCAAAAGTTTGTATTATCAGTTCAGCTGCCAGTTTTCAGAGATTTTCACAGCATTTGGTGCAACTGGTCTAAATATTTAGGTGTATTTTACGTACCAAGATGCGTCCACTCTGATGTACAGTAACTTTCCGTCCATTTATTCCACCAGTTACCCCATATTCTATAGTACTGTAATATAATCCTTCTTTTCACTAGATTGACATAAAATTTGCATGTTTGTTTACAACATAAAGTAGTCTTAAAAAAGTAACTTTAAATGTATTTCCTTTTTTTTTTCTTTTTTGCAAACTAATACATACAAGTATATATTTTTTTATTTCAAATCATAGGTTTGAGAATGAACTCATTTACAAGATGCTAAGAAGTTTACATACTATTTGATACAGTTATACCTCGCTCTACGTTGCCTTGCTATATGCTGTTTCACTAGGTGGGTTGTTGAGGAATTGGAGAAAAAAAATATTTTTCATGACACATGAACACGGCAACAGTGGCCTACTTTGGGTAGCCTAACACTGCTAACAATTACCAAATCCCCTTTCTAGCATCAATCTAGCCATTAGTACCATATTCATTTGAGTTCATTTGCTAAGAGACAAGTAAAAACATGATCAATAGATCAAAACCCAATAAGTTGAGAGGAAAATGCCCAGCAAGTGAGGTTTGTGCCTCTGTCAAGAAAAAAATCATACTCTAATCTCATGGTTAAATTATATGTTCTCAGGTGCTCTAATGCTGGCAAACAAGTGGTTTACATTGTCTGAACAGTTGTCCTACCTACCAAATAGTGAGAACAGTTTGTGAGAAAAGGGACAAAACTAAGGTATGTGCTTAAAGTGGGGCACCTGTAATTGCTATAAGGAACTGTACAAACAAGAAGAAAGTTGTTCACCAACTTTTTTACCATTATCTTAAACGTACATCCATAGATGAAGAGACAGGTAATCCTGCCACTTCGTCTCAATAAGTTCATCGCTCCCTGCACCAGCCGGCCTCTGTATGTAGTCTCCTCAACCATCTCTGGTCAATGTTATCTTCTTGACATACTTATTTTAAATGATAGCAATATTGTTTAAGTTAACAATATTTTTTTTTAGAAAATTTTGACCAAGATGTCACTATTTCTATCATTAGGTCTAAGGCAAACTTGTGTTCACTGTACAATACTGTACGTTGTTTCACTTAACAAGGAACTTTCAACAACATGTGACCGACATTCAACAACATGTGTCCAACAGTACAGCGAGGTATACCTGTACGGCATTTGGATGAATGAATTTTTTTCACCAAAATAAGTCCCTTCCAATGAATCCATATGACTGGGGATCCAATTTGTAAAAAAATAATTATATTTTGACTGAATTGCTATAGAAGCTTGATCATTTGTTGGAGAATTGTAAACGAGTTCTTAGTAACTTTGAGTGGTGGGTATGTTTCAACTGTCCACCAGGTGTCTGGATGCATCTCCATAACCTTGTCCATGCAGTCAGCCAGGGCTGGGGAGATACACCATCTTCAGATGACTGGTTTGACAAGTAATTAACTTACAACAAAGTTGTGCAGTGATAACTGCAGTGTATTTATAATTTCAGAGAAAACAATCTTTCTATACACTGCATATCACTGAGAACACTGATAAACCCAACCACTACTTACCTAGAGACATTAGCCAGTAACAACAGAAAACTACTACACTGGACCCCTGTGTTATGGAATGGATGTAGTGCAAATTATTTTTGCACATATACTGTACTGTACTCCCATGTTAAAAGTAAAGATGCATTTATACGGAAATTTTTTGGAGTCAACACAAGTAATAAAAATGCACTTATAATTGGAGATGTACATTTCTTAACACTTGAATTATAGTTTAGAAATTTTATTATACAGTAAGAGTAAATACTGTACATAAAATTACATGAGTTTTACTAACCAGAGATTTAAAATATCGAGTTTTACATCCAATGTAATTCCTTTACGTGCTTGTTTAGGTGTAGTACAGTACTTGCATTTGAAATTGCTGGCCTTTTTGTAGACATTTTGAGGGGATTGGAAATGCACATCAGTGAGGATAAATCTTAGAACAACAACAGCTAGATACAGAAGCAGACTGTAACTGACGTGCTCCCAGATTCAAAACAAAGCTTGCCACCAACGTAAATGATGTGCGCAAAACTTTTAGAATTTCTTATTTTTTTTTTTGCATTTAGTGATTAAATTTGTATATTTTACTTAAAATACCATAAGGGCCAATTTACATTCCATATCTTGATTTTAGTGGTAGTGATTTATGTTGTCCGTAAGGGCAAATTTCCATAACCAGAATTCCTGTAGCATAGGGGTTCAGTGTAAACAAAAAGAAATCAATAATCCATTACTATCGAACTAGGGGTGCTTAAAGACCTTTGAATATTGGCACAAAATATGACATGTAGACCCATTATGTAATCCACTCTTTGTATTGTATGATCAGTACCTATGAAAGCCTTTCGCTGCTAACATATTAGGGATATCATCCCATATATATCCCATTGCTCCTTCTACTGATACACTTGGCCATGACCAGACAGGTTCTCTATATTTGGATAAAAATTCTTTGACATGTAGTTTGAGCAGCCTAACAGAGAGATGACATTGGTAATAACTAGAATAACTAGTTTAAGTATCTGAGGTAAAGAATATCATATTCTTGGGGATAGAAAACCTTTGTAACAAATCCTTAAACAAAAACAGCCAAGGAATAAGAGAATACCATTAGTAATAATTTGTTCCTATCATAAAATTTAATCTGTATAGAATATTCCTAAAGGTATCATTACCATCATCAATCATATACTGTCTACCCTTTACCACACTAACAATCTCCCCAACGTGAAACATTTCTTGAGTTGAGGCTGACCAGGTTATTACACACATGCAATAGCTAGTCACTACCTGCTGTACCAAAGAAGTAAAGTGTGGAAAGAATCAAGTATTAATAATTGTTACATTTTTATATTTTTTTTTTGCTATTGTACAACATTATTAACAATCATTGGGATAATAGGTATTTAACATGTAGTATACATCTTCATTCATTCTTCATAAAATCTATTGAATGTTATCATAATAATTGGGTAGTTATAACCCAACACTGGTAATGTCCCTGATCCATTCTCTAGTATTTCTCCATTACTCATAAAATAATATACAGGTACCATAAAAAAAACTATCACTATTCTGGAAAAATAAAAGATCAAAGGTTACCTGCAAGAATACCCTTACACAATGAATCAAATATATCAAATATATATATATATATATATATATATATATATATACTGTATATATATATATATATAAAACAAAGTCCTGATACTCAATTACTTTGAAAAACAACTTAAAATGTGCAGCTTTAGTAACAAAGGAAATGGTCTGAGCCACAATTTAGAGTTTGGCATTAGAGGCTGCGGCAGCAGAGATTGAAGTATTCTTGGAAGCTGCCTGACTTTTGAGCTTGTTCAGAACTGTACGGATGCCAGCACCATATTCTGGACATGCTTGTGAAAAATTTTTGATGGCCCTTTCCTGCAGGAACTCCTGTGCATTAATTAGGTGGTTAGCAATATTCTCCACAAGGTCATGGCGTTCCTCCTCATTCAGCACCTGTAGCAATTAGAAAAATGAGGTTAAAAATGTCCACTGTACATTATTATCAAGATACTACTGTACTGTATATTATGCACAATATTTATTGATGAAAAAAGGCAAAAAATAAAATGGCCATAAGCTTTCTGGAGAGTAAGCTCAGGAACATAGTGAAGCAGAGGAGACAACATTCAACTCTGAGAGTGAGTTTATACCGGTAGTTACTAAGGACCTATCACGGTCAATCCATCTTCACTCCAATAATACCGTACAACACAACCCTCAAGAATTTGGAAGTTTCCTTTTATTTTTATGACTAACCGGTATGTATTCTACTTCATAAAAACATACTATTGACATTATTCATATTTATCACCTCTCCATGTTTGAAGCATTGAATGCATATTTGGATAAAATTCCTTGGTTGGTTAATCTAAAGCCAGTTGCTTAGTATCCTCTCCAGTAACGTACAGTACAGTATTTTTGTCTGTATTGCAACTATTAATTTAACTGCCACTTCTCCGAGTTATCATCCCGTATACCAGGCATGGGCAACCTTTCCTCAGTCATGGGCCGCATTACAATTTAGGTATTTTTGTGAGGGCCTACCCACCAAAATCAATATCCTACCTAACACAAAAGCAATGTTAATATTTTATTAGTATAGACAGGGAAGCAATTTATTGTCGTGTTCACCTTACGATATTGCCAGTTTACAATCAGTCTTTTTCCCATTTATGAAACAAATCCATCATAATTTTTTAGAGTAAAATGTTAATGTTTCTTGACATTTAACAGAAGATGAGTGAAGCAGTCTTTGAATACGTTGATTTTTCCTACAGTTACAGCATTTTTCTTACTAATGAGACACACCCCACTGGAATAATGGCAATATTACCGGTAATCTTGGCAAATGGGGAACTACAGTAAAAGTCCAAAAATCCGGACCACCTGAATATCCGGACTTTTCGAAAACTCAAATTTTTTTTTAGCTGGCTTTTGTGTATGTGCGCATGCATGAGCGCCACAGCTGCACAGTGACAACAAGCGACCACGCAGTCGCCACTTTAAAATGAGCAATCAAACTGTGACAACGTATGTAATTTTGAATCCATTTACAGAGTACTGTACAAGCCCATAATAATGGCTCCTAAAGTAGATAAACTTCGTTGTGTGAAGAGAAAGAAGAACACGTTGAAATTGAGTGACAAACTTGAAATAATTAAGAAACTAGAACGTGGTGTGAGCAATATTTTTCTAATGGAAACATACGACATTGGAAAGTCTACAATTTATGATATAAAAAAGGCTAAGAATAAAATTCTAGAATTCACAGCTTTTTCTTTAAAACTGCTCGTTTTGATAAATGAAGCATGCGATATTTGCTAATGAATAAACTATCAAAATGTACCTGTCCATCTCTTCGTTATTCCTCCTTAAATTTGAATTTTAAAAGTACTGCCTGAGAATCCGAAAATCCGGACCGACCCAATCCCCAAGCAGTCCGGATTTTTGGACTTCTACTGTACAATGAAATAATCTATAGGCACATATCTTGCTCTCTCTCTCATATATATATATATATATATATACAAGTTAAAATTTTTATATTGTTGACTACAGGGGGGTATACATACCTGTACTTATCACTGTTATATTTTCGTAGTGTAAAGATTATTCTTTTAATAAAAAGTGCTTTATTCACCATAAACTGGCTGTATCAACCTGAACCACGGGCCACATTAAATTGCATTTCTCAATCACTCCACGGGCGGCATAAACACATGGGCCGCGGGTTGTCCATGCCTGCTGCATATCGTAATCTACACTAAGTTCAGCTGTGGAGCTATGAGGTGGGCATCTTCAAATTATCAGTACACTATAAATTGGCTGACACAGCTGCAGCAGAAAAATTAAGGGAGAAATAACTCAAACATAATCTTTCTTTTATTTAATCAAGTGCTAGAACACCCTTGATTCATTTTCATAGGTGTATTGACATAGGTGGATTTTATCAGCTGCACGCAAAATCGGTAATAACTTGGGGAAATTTTCTAAATAGAAGATACGGTACAGTAAACCATTGATAATTTGAAATTTGATTACTAATAACTTGATATAACTCAGAATGGCAGTAAAACATTCAACCGTAAATTATTTGAATTGTATTTTTTTTTGCATAACTCGCAATATTCCGAGATATGACAACGCAATCTCGGTGTGGCGTAACACGTGATCTTAAACTCAGGTCTCACTCTTGTACGAGCCAACCCATTCAGCATCACTCTCTAGCCGTGTTTATCACTTGTCTGTGATCGTTTGAGGGGAAAATTCATTACAATACTCTAATGTATATATAAAACAAGAAGCATGGGCGTGTATATGTGGGAAGTGAACGTTTGTGTGTGGAGGCAGTGAGCTGTAACGGCATCTCTCCCTTCCTCAATGTGAGTCAGCTGAACTGTGTCACATCGCCCAGAGGACCTATTCTTTGTACATAAAATAATATATACAGTACAAGTAAATGTGAGGAATATACAAAAATACAGTCTGACCTCGCAAATTCGTGCTAATTGTTCTCCCACCATGCCCAGATAAGCACTAAAAACATAAGAAAACTTGCTAATCATCTGCTAAAAAATTTAATCTAATTGTACAACATTAATCTTTATTGCTTCAAACTTACACTCCAATGCCATATTTATTGAACAGTTCTTTAACACTTATTCCAATATATAAACGATGTGATTCAGCAGAGTTAAATGACTTAGTGAGTGAAGGGTTAGCATAACTTCAACAAATTAAAATGACATGTGTCAAATAAGAAAAAAAAAATGCTATGATAATCTATAAAAGTGATCATAAAATACAATAACACATATTTTATGTAAAAAAAAAAAAACTCCTTCCACACGCATACAATCCTATGGGCGATATGACACAGTTCAGCCAGACAGACATCCAGCTGACTCAGAGACTTGTGCCTGCAGCTGCACTGTGTATGCCATGATGTCACATAGGGGGGTGAGGAAGCATGGATGGCTGCTGGGCTAGCGAGTCGACAACACAGTTACAGCTCACTGCCTCAATTCATACGTATTTTCACTTCCCACACAAAAACACTCATACTCTTCATTTTTCTTATTTTAAAATTTTGTATTTTCTTTAATTCTAAGCCATATTAGAGTAGTATAATGATTAATAAAAAAAAATTCTCCTGTGCACCTGAACAAGTGATAAACATGGTAATTGGGGAACTATCATGAAAACGCACAGACTTGCAGAAAAACGAACTTCTCAGACACGAATTTGTGAGGTCAGACTATTACTAACTAAAGAAAAAATATTGCACTATCATTTGGCAACAGTGTCACTACACATGGGACGTGAGACCGTGAACAGCTGGCATCCCCCACGACGCTTTGTGATAACTCCCGTGCACAAAAGAAAAGTTTATTCGTCCCGCTTTGTCCAATAGCATACCATAAAATACTACTAAACATGAATAAGAAACATTGTATGTGTGCATGAATAGCAAGATGTACTGTGCCACTTCATTATATAAACAATATTAGTGTGATTTATTATATGTACTTGAAATTGATGCACCTACCACTGTTAGTAATAAATTGGATATAGTATGTATACTGTAAGTGAGTACAGTATATACAGTGCAGTAGTAGTACAGTATACATTACTTTGTTTATTTACAATATATTGTACATTTACAGTGGTGTTTGCATATACTGTACTGTATAAATACTGTACAACTCTGTGTCTGTCTGTGCGAGAAGCGTAGTTTAGACCCTTGGAAAACTTTCTTGGTACCCCAAAAAATTATAGAGATGTGTGATTTTTTCCCGGGATAAGAAAACAATCTCCACACCAGGAAATCTCTCAATCCCACAACCACTCTGCACCAATTATTTTGGCTAGCGTGGAGATTATTGTATAAACAATATTAGGGTTAGTAATTAATTTGACAAAAGTGATAAAAACGTGATGAAATTAGTTGAGGGGAACAGTGAGGCTATAACTCCAGGTGTGTTGAGTTTGATAATTCATTCACTCTACAGAATATAAGACATAAGAACCAATCATGGAAATTCCAGCACTCTTGAATAAAAAAAAATTAAAGCACAGTTGAGAACCACAACTTTTTTTCTTACCTTTTTGTAGAAGATGCCAGCTTGAGTAAAGTTGTCTTCATCCTCACTGTTGTAACGAGTAACATCTCCCTGCACAGTAAACTTGCTCTCCCCAAAGCTCTTGCAGTCACAAGGACCAGAGAAACTGTTTGGGTAGTAGTTGGGTGCACATTCCTGTCAAAAAGTTTAAAACAGTTAATAGAGGAAAAGGCATTGTTACAATACTGAAGAGCATATTTCCATGTCTACCAATAATACTATGTACCATTGCCACTAATGGCAATCAATGGTTGCCAGATACTTAAAAATTAATTTTCAGTGCCATCCTCTTGGGAGTTGTGGTGTCTCGTATTTCTTGTCATGTGTTAATCTGCTACATTTCAAATGAATTTAGTAACTTTATTTTGCAAATTTTTATGCTTCTTTTTTATTTAGTGCCTACCTAAATTACTGCCTTTTACTATATATTTACTAAAAGGAAATTTGTTTATTTTGTGGAAAAGTCACACTGAGTGTTTTACAATCAAGCATTGCACCATTCTAACTACCACAAACTTCCATAGCTGCTCACCAGAGGGCAGTCACAGCATCACTTAATCAATGTTCACTCAAAGTAGTGGATGCTTGCTCCTCTTCTAGCTGCTTTCAAATCACAGGGTCACTCACTCCCACTCCTAAATTCCTTCGAGTTTACCATGTTCCCTACTTACCAAGATGTCTAAATGTGCAGCAGCAACTTCTGCTTCCAGTTCAAGTGAGAATGAGAAGAGATAGATGTATAATCTTGAAGATAAATTAAAATTTTGGACAAACTTAATCGTTGTGGAGTAAATGCATCAGTTGATATATTCCAAAATGGAGTAAATGAAGGTACAATTTGCATCAGACTGAAAATGACAAGACTTGTGGAACATATATTCAGACATTGATACCCAAAACCATCTAGCATTTAAGGCCACTGCAATACCAAGAAATGGAGGATGCTTTGAAAATTTGGATTATGAACATACAACAGTGTGAAGCTGCACTGAATGGTCCAATGATTAATGCTGAGGTGATGGTAATTCAAGCTCGGTTGCTCAAGAGAGATTGCAAGCCAGTTAGTGACAGCAAATTCACAGCTAGCTTGAGGGTTTACGCCTTGATCTCAGTCTCTGGTGCTTAATTCTTGATCTCAGTCTCTGGTGATTAGGTCTTGATCTCGGTCTTTGGTGCTTAGGTCTCAATCTTAAGTCTCTGGTGCTTAGGTCTCAATTTTGGTTTCGGATACATTTAGTCTTCAATTTTTGTTCGAGACCTTTTGAGACCACAAGTTTATTTATTGATATTCAGATGTGTTGGGAAGGAGTGGTTAACAGGTGAAGTTTGGGTTCAAGTACAATTACCTCACCTCAGGATGGGAAGATTTATACAGCCCTGGCCAAATGTCACACTAAAGAGCTATTTTCTAATTGGTTAGAATATTTTTGTTTCACCACATAAACTGAGGCATAATGAATATTACTAACAGAATATTGTAGTGTAAGAACTATTGCTAATCTAACCTAACAACCAGGTGGTGTATGAACGATTGAGTGTGCATGTAACAGAAAAAGAAAAATCCAAACTATATTTACCCGAGATTACAAGTTGAACAGTAACATAGTTCACCCTCACCCGCTCTGATTGGTACTGGGTGGTGAGTCAACAAATTGGCGAAATAATTAGGATATTATTTCTTGTTACCCCTCGTTTAGGATATTATTTATCATTATCCCACGGTTAGCTCTAATTTGGCTTAACGATAGATTTTTTCAGGAACGCATCCCAATCGTTAGCCTCAACATTGGACATGAGTAAAATTTCTTCCCCAAGTTTTTCTGTTGGAATACAATCACTGAACTGGAATATTTTAAGTCAGGTCTTACAACATTTCAGATATATGTGTCCTGAAATTTGATGTACTGTACCTTACAATCATAATGACACCATATAACATATTCTAAACTGGTTAAAATTAAACCATGATTGTGTCAAGAGGTATTATACTGGGTCAGCTTAATATACTGAACATTTTCTGGAATAACCTTGAAAGTGTAGTAAAGTTGACAAATCACTATTTTACCCCAAACCTAAAACTGTTCTGAACTTATTAATTTCCAATTTCTGTGACTTACCTGGTTGCTATCAACAGTCATGGGACCATCACGCTGGTAGTTTTTGACACGAGCACGGTAGGGACAGTTCACAGGGATCTGAGTGAAGTTGGCTCCAAGACGATGACGATGGGTATCATTATAGGCGAAAAGTCGAGCCTGCAGCATCTTGTCTGGAGATGGCTCAATTCCTGGCACCAAATTGGCTGGTGAGAAAGCTAGTTGTTCCACCTGATTGTGATAGAAGAAAATTGTTAACATGAAAATGAATTTCTTTTATTACATTCCTGGACCCTATTCTTAAGTCGTTTTGTTTGCAACTCAGAACCACATTAATTTTGCAATGAAATCTGAATAAAACCCAACCCAACCTGTAAAATGAATACAATTATAACCCATTAAATACAAATAATGCATGTACAGTGGTCCCTCGGTTAACGAGCACAATCCGTTCAAGAAGGTTACTCATTAACCGAAAAACTCGTTAACCGAAACCATTGTTTCAATGGGTTTTTGGGCAATTGGTTCCAGCTCACCGAAAATTGCCTAAATTCAACAAAAAAGGTAGTAACGTACACTTACATTGAGGTGTGTATGTAGAAGGCTCTTGGATGATGATGATGGGAATTAGAATGGGGGTGGAGGAGAAGGGAGAAGAGAAGGCGTTGGGGCGGAAGAGAAGTCACCCCATGGCACCATTTCACCCATAAAATTTTAGTTCTCTTGGTGTAATTCAAGATTACAGTATTTTCTTTAAATCAACACTGCACTGCATTATATATTGTCAATATGTAAAATAAATTTCAAAATGACCAATAATTTGCTTGTGAACACAGAAAAAAAGCGTTTAGCTGAAGAGAGTCTCAAGCAAGATGTTACCTCCACTGAAAAGACATAAAGACTGACGCCTGTATGCTGTGTTGGCAGGCTGGATGGCGTGCCACAAACTAGTGACCTTACCTTCAATTATGTTCAATAATTGTTAAAATGACTAAAAATTAAACTTTTAAAATTATTGAATAGTATAAACTTCTTGATATTTACTAAAAGGGTAAGGAATTTAAGCCCTCGAACCGATTACTGTATTGGCGGACTATTACTACAGCTGGTGGACCACCAAATGCAAGCTAAAACATGTGGAGGTCGGCTCGTAAGAAACTCGTTAATCGAGGGATTGCTCGTTAACCGAAGTTTAGAATCTTATGGAAGGTAACTCGTTAACCGAAATCTCGTTAACCGAGGCGCTCGTTAACCGAGGGACCACTGTAAATAGAGGCAGTTTCCATGAAAATATTCCTGGTTAAACAAGAGCTGCAACATGCCAGCACGCCTCTGATGGTATGCTACCTCCGACTATCCTCTGGGTCACAAACATATCGTACTGACTGGCTTATATCTGCTGTTTCTTGACTTGTCCTTATTAACCTTCACCAACATGAATGCAAAGCGACTAAAAGTGATGCTGATAGCAAAAGACAAAGAAAATCTATTTTGGTAGAGATGAAAATGGGTGATTGAAGGCTTTGAAAAGGGAGAGCGCACAGCCAACATTACAGGTGCAATGGGCCTTCATGAGACAACCATATATAACAGGGGTGGCCAAACCACGGCTCGCGAGCCGTTTTGACACTCAATGTGCGGCTCGTGAAAATATATTGGCTCACCTCCTTTTTGCGTCATAATTAATATAAGAAGCTGATACAACAACTGAAGCTAGTTTTGTTATTTCATGGAGTATTGCTCGTGCTAAATGCCCATATTCTGATGGAGAATTTGTTTAGAAGAATATAGCTGAAGTTGTTGCCGCGTTAGATCCAAATAACACAAAACTTCAGCGACTAATAGCACAAACTCCAGTTTCACGCCACACTACAGAGAGGCGTATCTCCCAGATAAGTGCTGATGTTGCAAGCAAGAAGCAAAATGATTTGAAGAATTCTCTAGCATTTAGTTTGGCTCTTGACGAGTCTACAGACATACAAGACAACCCACAACTGGTGGTATTTGTTCGTTATGTTTCCTTTGATGTAACTGTGAAAGAAGAGATGTTAGACCTAGTGGCACTAAAAAAAGCAACTCGTGGTGTTGACATTAAAAATGCGCTTGACAGAGCCATAACAAATGCTGATGTTCCACTGGATAAACTTGTCAGTGTTGCAACGGATGGAGCACCTGCAATGGTGGGGAAATATGCAGGACTAATTGCACTCATGAGAAGTGATCCCAAATTTCCAGAATTCCTCCCTGTTCACTGCATCATTCATTGTGAACACCTAGCAGCCAGATACTTCAGGTACGAAAATTTTATGAAAATTGTCCTAGATATTGTCAATTTCATCCGCTCAAATGGGAAGACCCACCGACAGTTCAAATGATTTATTGAAGAACTGGAGCTTGAAGACAAGCCCAACAATGTCTCTTTCTACTGCATTGTGAGGTGGCTGTCAACCAGCAACGTCTTGAATAGGTTTGTAGATCTGTTGAACCCTATCACTACTTTTCTTGAAGAAAAGAAAAGATCCTATCCTCAACTGGAAAATGATGAATGGATGCAAGATCTTATGTTCCCTACTGATATAATGAAACATCTACAAATTCTCAACTTAGCACTCCAGGGGGAGGATAAGATTGTTTCTGAGCTTACTCAAACAATTTTCAGCTTGCAGAATAAAATAAGAGTTTTTCAGAGACATACAGTCAAGAAACTTCAGCCACTTCCCCCATCTCAAAAGGAGAGTAAATACATTCCCTGATACTGAAATAAAAGACCACAAACTGAAAGAATACAAAGATAAATTACAAGGACTGCTTGATAATTTCCTAGCCAGATTTGATGACTTGCAGAAGCTGAAAACCTGCTTTGCCTTTCTTCTAGATCCATTCATGGTTGATGTAATCAATGATGGTTGTCCGATTCTCAAACCTCCGGTTACAGAATCATCTGCTGTAGAAATGGAACTAATGGAATTTCAGGAGGATCTGGGTCTAAAGAAGATCCATAAATCTCAGTCAACAATTGAGTTCTGGAAGAAAGTTCCAGAAACAAAATATCCTGAACTCAAGAAAACTAGTGTGCAACTCATCTCAATTTTCAGCACAACATACTGCTGCGAATCACTGCACTCTGTAATGAAGTTTGTAAAGTCAAAACATCGTGCAATCCTCACAAATCAACACCTGACAGAGCTAATTCGTACAGCCTTGACAACATATCAGCCGGATTTTCAAAGATTCGCAGCCAAGTTGGAAACCCACAAGACTTCTACTACTGTAGTAGTAAATAGCCTGATAATTGTAACAATATCTCTTTATGTAATAAATAATGTTCTGACAATATTGGACCTTTGTAAGATGGTATCTGATTAAAGTACAGGTATCTTTAATTTTATTGCTTTACTTGTTTTTCTTTTCCATATTTTTCTCCAAATTTTTACCAAATGCTTTCTGAGACAAATAAATTTAATAAAAAATACTTTATATTTTTTTACCCTTTATTTCAGCAATTTCATTTTATGTTACTGAAATACATATTTTTCTGAGATGTTCCTGTACTGTTTTACTGTCTCAACATCCTGTGTTTCAAAAAGGCCCTACACAAAATTATGAAGAACAATGGAAGATTCTTATCCATTCTCTCCAGATGCCCAAACCATCTCAGCCTGCCTCTACACAGGTCTTCACCAATACTCGCAATACCCAAGCACCCTCTTAGCTCTAAAAAGGGCCATCTGTCTTTGAGTGCCCAATTACACATCCACATCATCATGCTTTACAAATGTTTTTTAGTAGAAATGATCTCAAATTTCACCTCTTAAACATGTCAATACTTCATCACCATTCTACAATATGTAATCATATGCGTAATCAATACTTCATCACCATTCTACAATATGTAATCATATGCGTAAAGCTGGTCTGAATTTCATGTGTACTCTTTGTGTAGCACTGTTGACACATAATGGATTCCTAACCTTATGTGGCACATCTGCAATTAACTGTCAAGAGGCCGACTGTTTCATATATGGCACATCCACAATGAAAGAGTTAAATTAAAAAAAAATAGCTGATAACTTACATGAAATCCTGGAAAAAAAACTATAATGAATTAAATTATGTACAAAAACTTGTCAATTTACTAAATAAACAAAATGGAGTACTGTAATAAATATCATACACTCTATCTTGTATATAATTACAGTATTCTGGACTTACATCTCTCCGTGACATAAAATTGCAAATATAGACAAATTAATACCTCAGCAAAGTAGCTCTTGGGGTTGCGGTCGAGGACGAGGCGACCAACAGGCATGAGAGGAAATTCCGCATGAGGCCACACCTTCGTCAGATCAAAGGGGTTGAACTTACATTTTTCAGCTTCTTGCAAGGTCATAACCTATAGACAAGGAATCATATAAGAAATTAACTTTTAGTAAATCTCTGATAACAATGTGAAACTTTAACTTACCCTGTCGGCTGAATTCCAGGCACCAATATTAAATTTTCTATATAGCTACTTTAACAACCATGGCACACATTTTATTATTAGTAATTCATCAATGTTTGCTCTCGGGGCTAAATAAATGAGGCAAAATAAAAATCACACTTGTATATAAAAAATTTTTTCAATGCATTTTGGCCCTTTTGTGACTCATCAGCACAAAAATATATAAATCTGCACCCTGCATGCTGTAAACCCTAAATATTCATGTCCTCTAAATTTGTGATTAAATATTTTGAACATAATTTCCAACTCTGCTTTGTCATTCACTATATTGTTCCATGATATTCCCTGGAGTTGGGCGTATTTTTATTTCACGCTCCTCTATTATTCGAGGATGACACCCTGGATGTACCCAAGAATGTCTGTGGGTAGTTTTAAAGTTGCCAGCATTTTTGCGGCTGGGACAGGGAGCCATTCTTTCTAGGGACAGTAATTTCCTTTACCTGTATTGTAAATATGTGTGTGTGTGTGTAGACACACACACACAAAACACATACAGTGAACCCTCACTTTACGCGGTTGATTCAACCCACGGCGGCCCGCGTAAAGTGAACAACATAACATATGGGATTAATTGAAATAGAGACTGGGCCGACCCCCAAACTCCACTTTTTCAGACACAATACCTACGTTGTAGTAAAAATAACTTCTTAATTTTATGATAGTATGCACACACAATTAATAATTAAGAGAAATATCAATAATATTAGGTTTTTTAACACTTATATTAGCAGAAAAGATGGCTGGGCACACAGGGATGGGGGGTTGGTTTCGAGGCAGAGGGCAGATTATTGGCCCTCACCTGTATCACTTGTATCAATTGTACCACTATCCACCACAGAGGCTTGCAGGGCCTCTTTGTCAAACCCCTCAAAGTCCATATCCTCACTATAATTATCACTATCACTGACTTGGACCGGCTGTGGTGGGTGGCGGGTGAAGAACTTGGTAATGTTTTGATGACTGGGCGACCTTGTGCGCACCCTGCTCGCGCCGCTCTCCGCGTAAAGGGGTACACGCACCGCGGAATGTGAGCATTCCGGTTTCGGCAGGGTACCGCGTAAACGTGGGACTGCGCAAAGCGAGGGTTGACTGTATAGCACAAATAAAATTCAATTGGAAAATCTTCTCACAAATACTCGGAAAAAAATTATTAAAAATATGACAGTCTACACTCAAGTCCGTGCTTTATTACTTTATTAATAAAGCACGGACTTGAGAGTATATTGTCACATTTTTAATAAATTTGTTTCTGATTACAGCGAACCCTTGAAGATCCGGACTAAAAGGGGGGACCACCTGTCTAGAAAAGCCGATTTTCCGGAGATTAATAAATGATATAAGAAACACCAAAAATACAGTACTAATGTAGTTATAACAAATTACTGTATATAAACCATGCATTTACCTATGATAACATAATAAGAAACATTGTATCATTACTAGAGTGAATGAAATAATATTCCCACAAACAATTGTCAACTCTGTTTATGTTTCCCACCTCCTCGGGCACCTGTATCCAAGCAACTGACGGGTCAAGCAGCGCCAAGGGCCTAAAATGTTCCTTGCTCTGGTTTGGGAATATTTCTCAGGGAAACTTCTAGGAGGCTTCTTAGCCCAGAACCCCTAAATTTTTTGTCCGGATCTTCTGAAATCTGGATTTCCCGGGTGCGGATCTTCGAGGGTTTACTGTTTTTGTGAGAGCATTTTCCCATTATTATTTATTTGTATGTGTTTTGTGTATAAATAATACAGGTAAAAGAAATATATAATTGTCCTAGGGACAATCACATAAAGGGAATATACATTTCTTTGTACACAAATAAAAATGTACCCCCCTCCCCGGTCCGCAAATGTTACTTGCGAATTTGGAGATTCGCAGCCATTTTGAGAACCTAGCCCCCGCGAATTTGGGGGGTGGCCCCTCCCCTGTACATACAAACAGCTAAATTTCCACATAAATTTCTTTGTATAACAACGAGTATTGAGGGTAAAATATAATATTAGCACACCTGCACCTTCCATAATTATAGTTTAATGCATAATAGAACTATAGATGTAGAATAGTGCAAGTTACCCTTAGTTAACACCAGGCAAATAACAGAGGCAGTAGAATGGGTAAGACTAACCGTGGCCCACCCAGGGAAAAGAGGGTGATCACTAGTCATCACCACTACCATATCCTCATCTCATCAAACCCCACTTACCACTCATTCCTCATGTACATATAATACATCAGAGATGTCCGTGGTGCTTGTATAAAGTTATGTTGTGGGTGGTAAAGTGGGTAATTATGTGGGAGATGGCATAAGGGCATGGTGGTGGAATGGGTAGTGGCATATTTAGTTTTGGTGATGGTGGTGGTAGGTGTTGTTACATGGGGGTTACTGTATGTGGCATATGATATTCAGTACTAACACTACTCAAGTATTCATCCTCATCCATAAAGTATGACATGATATAAAAATGTACAATACAGTACCACAATCAGATCAGATCATGGAGAATCTGCAAACCATACCTGGATGTACATGGTGTATGATGGGTAATTACCACTACAGATGGCATTATACAAGTCACGAATGGCATAATCAGGATCTGACCCACAGAGCTCATCAGCCCTCTTTGCACTCAAGTTTCTGAAAGTATAAAGCAGGTTCTTACAAATTCTGAAATGATATAAAATGACTGCAGGAAACAAAGAACAACTGCACTCACTTAGCTATTATCTTTTCACTATTCCAACATAATACTGTCAAGGAGTCGATGTAATGCTCTTAAACGCTGGAAAAGTTTTAAAAGAGATTGGGAAGAAAGAACATGTAGGAACACATACTGTACTCCTATTCTCATCCTGAAAACAAGCAAATCATAATTTTCTGATTATTTATACTAATTCACAGAAATTTATTATGTACAAGTAGTCCCCAATTTATGAAGCTTTGGTTTACAAATAAAACTCCCATGCTTGACGAACAAAACCCCGTAAATTGAAAATAGAAGCAAAAATGGAAATAAGTACAGGTACAGTACAGTACTGTATTCCTATACTATATAGCTACTTCATCAAAAACCTTCAGTAACCTGGTTTGAAAACTAAAGTGTATGAAAATTTCCTGTGAAAAATGACTGCAAATTTACCCTAATTATTTGGGAGCAAGGAAGAGAGGGTAATAAAATATAAAAAGCTGCAAGTTTAACAATGCTATCACATATTTTCCATCTTTAAGGGGATAGCCTTGTTAAAAATCACCTTGATGGTAGTGATGGCCAAAATTTGTGGATGAGGTTCATGGGCCTAATGTTTCCAGCACTTCAAAACAATCGTGAATTTTTGGTCATTTACATGAATCTAGCATACGTATTAAACAACGGGTGAACTCTTACTTAATTCCTTGGTCTGTCTTGTAGTGGAACTTGCAGTATACTGCTTCTCCCTTGTCATTGACCAACTTGAATGTGTGAGAGCCATAGCCATTCATATGTCTGTACCCATCAGGAGTTCCTCGGCCAGAAAATAAGAAAGACACTTGATGTGTGGATTCTGGCCTCAAAGTTATGAAATCCCAAAACATATCTGCATCCTGAAATTTTAATTCTTTTTTAGATCTTTGAGTAACAACTGTCCAAGCTTATTATATATTTACTGCCTAACACATTAAAAACATTAATAATATACAGGTACTCCTCGACTTACGACTTATGACCACCTGGACATACGACCGCCCGTCATACCAATTTTTTTTTTAATTACTTATTTTCGAGTCCCTACGTTAGTGATTGCGCTGTGTACTGACAATATTTTCGTTTGTAATTCCCTTTAAAATGGCTGGCAAGCTTAAAAGTGAGAGTTTTGTGGTGCTGAGAAGAAAAAGAGACACCCATTTTAGATTTTCTATTTATTATTTTCGCATTTTCGACTTACGACCTGCATTTGGGTCCCTAACCCCATCGTAAGTCGAGGAGTGGCTGTACTATCAACATGCAGCCAGCATCTATGCAAATGGTGACTCTGGTGTCTGTTAAACTTTGATTTAGCTTTTCCTCAAGAGGTTTAGCGGCAGATTTTCGTCTAGATAATGCAATATTTTACAGTACAGGTAGTTCTGCTATAACGCGATAATTGTGTTCTTGTAAAATATCGTGTTATAGAAAATCGCGTAATAGAAATAACAGGGCTTATGGAGAAAATAGGGTTAGGTGCAGATTACTCGAAATCGAAAAAATTTAGTAGTTAGCCTAACACAAAGGATAGCGCAGTCTAAATAAATGTTACATTCATATCTAATAATGAAATCATACAGTAAATGTAACACTTTACTTGATGGGGGAGAAGGGTGATTTTGAGGTTGATAAAATCGAGCTTCTCTTCAAATGTTATATCCTTTCTTTTACGATCATCACCGGGAATTCTATCACCAGAACGCTTCTTGTTGATATTCTTCTTTACTATATTCACAGTTAATACAGTGGGGTATGCTATAACAAACGGATCCTACTACGAATATTCCTATAACGAACGGTTTTACCGATAAAATTGAGAATGCTATAACGAACGCAACTCCTACAACGAACATTATTTAATTTTTTTTTTCTTCTTCTAATTTATTGTTTTTTTATTACAAATATTAATGATATTCTTTATTTCAGGGGTTTAGATGCATATTTATGCACTTTTTTACAATTTTTACAATTTTATATTATATTTTTCAGTGTTAAGTGGTTGTATTTGGGGGCCTGGAACGGATTAATCCTATAACGAACGAATGCTATAACGAACAAGGTTCTAGAACCAATTAGATTCGTTATAGCATACCCCACTGTACCACAAAATTGGAGAAATAGTAAGCAAAAATCGCGTTATAGCAAACAAGCGTTCGCGTTATACAAATATCGTTCCTAATTCATAAATCGCGTTAGAGCAAATTCGCGTTATCAAAACACGCGTTATAGCAGAACTCACTGTAGGGGTATTATTATTATTAGTTTTTTTATGGGGATTAGCCCACCCGGGCACAGGTCACTGACCCATATCGGGGCCTGGGGGGCGAAAATTCAATAATAATAATTCAGTAAGTAAGATTTATAATAAAAATAATTTTTTTTTAACAATAATAACAACAGTGTAATAATAATTATAATATTAATAAAGTACCATAAAGAAATATATAAATTAAACAATATTAAAAGTGAGAAACAATATATGTATGTTGTGTTGTCAATAGTAAGAGAAACAATTGAGACCCTGCAATTGTGTATAAATGAGGCAGAAAGTCAGGTCAGCAACCTGAGACTAGGTCACAATTTTTGTGATGCCATATGGCAGCAGGGTCTACCATTAGACAACACATTATGCTTCCAATATCTTCCCGGGCAGTAGTACCTCCGTGTTTGGTAGCTGCCTACTACCAGGCAGCAAATTACAGTATTCATTAGTTATGTAGGATATTTTGTTGTTCGGGAACTAATTTCATGTTTTGGGGGTATGGTATTAGGGTTTTCTTGTAATTGGGGAATCAAATCCTACTTTTCCCATGTGTTCTTTTATTGGAGATACAAAAATTCATTCAAAGAATGGTTTTCAGGAACCTAACCCATTCATATAGTGAGGGCTACCTGTGCAGTAATCTTTGGATTTAACATGATATTTAATGTGATATGACATAACAAAGAAAATTACTAGTGCTACAATCTTCAGGTAACATACAATTTGATAAAAAAATTAAATATTACCATGACTTCTTTCAAATTTTCAAAGAAAATATGTTTCAAAGTTAGTGAACTCTCTGAAAGTTGTAAATACCTTGAGGTGAGTTACAGGATTCCTCTTCTGTGTGTGGATGAAGGACGGGAAAAGAATTGGATCTCGGATGAAGAAGACGGGAGTGTTGTTCCCAACAAGATCCCAATTTCCATCTTCAGTATAGAATTTTACAGCAAAACCACGTGGATCCCTATAAATACAAAAATACCAAGCTCATTACACAATGATATACTGCACCTGATAATCATTTGGAAAATTAAGGTGATATTTAACCCTTTGGCTATGGGAGGTTTCCCCAAGCTGATTAAAATTGTTTGGCAGCAGCAGGAATAAAATGATAAAGTGCAGAAATATCATCAAAAAGGTTAAACTGGTATGCAGACACTGCATCCTTTATCAACAAGCAATGGTCCTAAACTCCATGATAAAAGAAATATGTGTATGTAATGCTGTATGATGATTTTCATCAGTGTCACACTCTCAAACCCTCTATGCCCTTGTTAAGAGTATTATTTGTATTATATTCCAAGTCTGACTACAACCAAGCCTTTAGCTAAGAGAAAATAAATTTCAGTCAGCCATCCCAGGCTTCATGTCAAGTGAGATAAAAATTTTAGCTTCCAAGTGAAGTAACAGCATTAAGAGGTTAAGTTGCTGCCCATTATTGAATATGTAAAATTTAAATGTCTCTTAATTAATAAGAAGACTGAAAGTATAATGCAGGTATGGGGCCATTTATCGAGGCATGCTTGAGACTTTGGGGTTACCAGATAAGTTTTTTCCCCAGAATTTGGAGCATCAGGCCTATAATGTACAGTAAAACCTGTGTAACTGGCTGTGGAGCCTCTGTTCAGATTACTAGATTCACCCTTAATAGTACAGGTAGCTCTAATTGTACATTGTAATAATAAAACTGTAAATTGTAGGCATATTAACAGCAACAATGAAAGCATAAAAGGAGTAAAATTGACACAGTACAGGTTAATGTACAATCTGAGTCACAGACTTGGCAATGCTGTAGTGTCTCCAGCAACGGTGCTCTGCACCGCGGACTCTCTGAGCTCCACATGGGTTAAAAATTTATACCTTTTAGTAATCTTTTTTTTTCACTTTCTGTGTATAGAATCGTGTGTGCATGTAACAGGAAAAAAATTACTCTCTTCTACCTTGAAATTACAAGTTTAAAAATAACCATAACATAACCTATAGCTCACAGATGGAGAAAGGTAAGAAATTTTACTGCTTGGCCTGGAATTACTCGGCACTCATTTTAAATAATATAATTGGGTCACATTCATAAGTATGGGTGTTTGCATCTCAGAGACCCACTATATATATATATACAGTGCACTAGGTCTAGGACCAGAAATTTGGTTCACCTCAGTTCCCAAGCTTGCTGGATAAATTGTCTGGTACAGTACCTATACCCTGTACTGTAAATACAGTAGTACAGGAGATGCGAATGATTTTATAAAGGAGATGACTAATATAAGATGCACAGAAAATGCAGAAGTAAGTGGAGGGATAGTAGCTACCTGTACATATCCGGTATGCATATGTGGAGATGGGTGTACAACACTGTACTGTATTAGCACGAATAATTAAACTGTACTAAGCAACATGTCCATATTTTTTTGTAGACTGGAATGAAATTCTCAACCAAATAGTAAAGATGTTCAAACAGTATAAGCACATAAGGAGAACATACAGCACTGAGAATTTTTTCTGAATACTGTACCCCTCTATCCATATATGGGTATAAACCATCTTCATACAACTTCCTGGGGTGAACCAGGTGCACCATGCATACTTGATTACAAATGAATAAATAACTACATTTATATATAATTAAGACACTGAAAATGCAGTACAGTATAAGATAGATAAAAATAACATGTATATCTAAATCAAGCAATCATCAACAGCAAGGCTGGAGGAATAAAAACTAAAAATCCTCTTACCTGGCAGTGTCGGAAGAGCCACTTTCACCACCAACAGTTGAACATCTAACAACCAATGGTGTACGCTTCCCAATTTCACTGAATAGCTTGGCTTTAGTATACTTGGTGATGTCATGAGTAATCTCCAAGTACCCAAAAGCACCTGCAAAGAAAAACATATTGACTTACCAGAACTGTCAAATTGGCTGGTTACCATCAGCCATTGAAGTTCTACCATTGACAATTCCCTTTGAAGCTAAAATTTATAAATAAATACTACAGTAGTACAGTATTTTACAGTCTGTCACACATTTTCAAAATATAACCATATTCAGTGGTGGATCCAGGGAGGGTTCAGGTGGTTCACAATAATTAAACACAAGATACACTACAAAATTAACATATGCAAAGCAAAATAAAATTCACAAATGGACACTGTAGCCTGTATAAAAAATGCCAAAAGAAAATACATTAAAGAACAGGTAAATTTCATCTTTAAAATACACACCAAATACAAAACAGCACTTTAAAAGGCAAAGAAGCAAGGTATGACAGGCTGTGGGAGATATAGCTGCATAATAAGCCTTACAATTGTTGCAACTGTATCTTTCAAAACACCTTAAATTTCTAAGGACCCTTTATATGATGCAATGGAATCGACAAGTACAGTATAGACGTTTTTCTTTCATTTTCTGCCTTTTGTGTTAAATCATCAGCCTTAACTAAATTTTTAAATGCATTTCTCATTTAATCATTTACTTTTTTTTCTAGAATTTTCAGTTAACACTATCTGTTTTGCTCATATTTCTTTTATCAATGAAGTAGGTATTATATTTAAACATACCTCAGCAATACTGTACTGCAATATCTCAACATTTATTTAGTAACTCACACTATGCTAAAACCTTGTTAATCTGATGCCTGGCCATTTGATAGGGTAAAAATTATCTAAAAGAACTCCCACAGTTTACTATAGTGTACTGTATATAATTTCAAAGATCACAAGAAGTGGACACTTACCAGCACCCTTAGCGTGGACAACCCTCTCTGGAATGCGCTCTCGATCAAAATGGGCCATTTCATCAAGTAACTGTATGTCTTGAAGTAGGATGGGCCCTCGCGCTCCAACAGTCAAGGAGTTGAGTTTGTCAGAAAGTGGGCACCCATGAGCAGTGGTAAGGCGTTCGGTACCCTAAAAAAAGAAAGAGAAAAGATCACTGATAAAATATGCAAAAATATACCACAGTGGCAGAAAGAATACACTGTACAGGTACCAGGTTCACCATATGAATTTAAAATAATTATGCAATGAACATAATAAATGTTTGGTATGGTGTAAACAAATATAATCTGCACAAATGTTTTAATAAGTCATTGAGGACAACAATACTGTATACTGTAGTTATCTCTTCTGCACCTAATGCAAGCAATCTAAAAATTAACAGCAAATTTTAAGAAATACTGTACCTAAACTACTGGCCTAAATGTACATAACATTATTCATATATATATATATATTTTTTATGGGATTAGCCCACCAGGGCACAGGTCAATGACCCACATCAGGGCCTGGGAGACAAAAATATAATAATAATAATAATTAATAATTTTTTTAAAAATATAATAATAAAAATAATGATGATACTAATTATAATAAAAAATTACCATAAATAGATAAAAAAAAAGGAAAGAAAAAAGATCAATAGTGAGAAATGATATTCTGTATGTATGCTGTATTGTCAATGTAATAAGAAACAATTGAGACCCTGCAATTGTGTGTAAATGATGCAGAAAGTCAGATCAGCAACCTGGGACTTGGTCACAATTTTTGTGATGCCAAATGGAAGCAGGGTCTACCATTAGACAATACCTACATTATACTGTACTTCCAATATCTTCCCAGGCACAAGAATAATTTGGTTCATTCTCAATTTCAAGATTAGGCGTGTTGACAACTTTTATGTTAAGAAAAACACCCAATTACACTCACACACTGGAGGAATCATAATCCGTACTTATGATGGAGCCCATACAGTGCAGTGATAATAAAAGTTATGAGAGAAGATACAGGCATTCCCCATTTAATGAAAGTTCAAGACACAAAACGAATTTCTTAAATTAATACCTCTTTTTCATTTAACGAAAGCTTTCCCCGTTTATGTGAATCTGGGTCCCAGCAAAAATTCAAATGACGCGTCCCTGGGAGTCAGCTGGGGCAGCCATCTCGGAGAGATGGGCAGAGATGTGTTCTCGCTCAATGGCCATAACTAACGCTCCACCCTTATCCCAGCCCACATCTTTCATTATCATACTTCACTTGCTTCATCTACCAGCTCTTGCCTCATCAACCATCACCAGCCTCATTAGCCAGCACTTGCCTCACCATTCCTCGCATCATCACCTCTCACCTGCCTCATCACTCCTCACCCCTAGCTTGCCTTATCACCCTCGCCTGCCTCATGAACCAGCTCTTGCCTCATCAACCAACTCTTGCATCATCAACCAACTCTTGCATCATCAACCAACTCTTGCAACATCATCATCTAGCAGTCGCCTGTTAACCAGCACCTCCTTCCTAGTGTTTACTGAAGGTGCAGGTTAGTGTGGAGGAAGTGGTTGGTGAAAGGTGAGGGGGAGGGGGTAGGAAGGTGGTGCTGGTTCATGAGGCAAGAACTAGCTGATGAGGCAGGTGAGAGGTGATAATGCAAACAATGGGTGATGAGGCAGGTGAGGGGTGATGATGCAGGTAATGGGTGATGATGCATGTGCTGGCTAATAAGGCAAGTGAAGGGCAATGAGCAAGTTGAGGCATAGTAGGAGTGTGTGTGTGAGGTGAAGCACATTGTATGATGGTATGAGGGTGGTGTAGTGGTGGGGGTGCAGGATGTGAGGGTGGTGTAGTGGTGGGGGTGCAGGATGTGAGGGTGGTGTAGTGGTGGGGGTGCAGGATGTGAGGGTGTAGTGGTGGGGGTGGTGTAGTAGTGGGGGTGTAGGCCGTGAGGATGGTGTAGTGGTGGGGATGCAGGGTGTGATGGTGGATAGGTGCGGTGTTACACGACACAAGGGATGCCGTTGATTTTATACTGTACTTCATGGGCAGGCTTGGGATATCACGGGGTATTGGGTTAAGGTAATGGGAAGATAGTAACATCAATGGATGGCAGAAGTGAAGTATGGCATGGATGTAACATAAATATGATGCATAAGAGAAGAGTGGTAGTGGGTGGCAGCAAGTGAGGAGCAAAGGGAGGGGTGAAAAAACAAGTTTTTCAGAGAACATCCAACAGCAATCCAGAGGTTCAAGGTTACAGGTGATGTCGCAAGCACATTAAGCATCAACCTCATCTTCCTGATCAAATTGATTGTAAAAAAAATTATTTAGTTATATAAATAAAAGAATTATTTTCACCATTTTTCTACCCAACAAAATTTTTTCTTGGTGTCATCTTGTGGTTTGTTGCAGTTAAATTTAGATCAAACAGCATGCAGGAAACTCTTGAGTCTATATGGCATTATCCTGACAAGTCACACACTGATAGGAACTCAGGAGAGAGCCTAGGTCCTAAGTATCATATTCATGTTAAGCAAGGTCTATACCTCAGTCAGTTAGTTATATCAAAGGAGAAGATTTTCAGGTACAATTGTGTACTGTATAAGAGATAAATAAATACCCTTGAACAGCATCAAGGCTAAACAAACAGGCTTCTTGTGGGCCCCCATGGCTGACAAACACATTTACAGAATTCACATATTGTAATCCAGTGATATTTCATGACTGCTACATGTGACTACAGTACTGTACTATAATCATGATCAACTACAGGTACAGCAGATAACCAGAATCAATCTTCCATTATGTGAAGCATCCAGGGAAATGCACTAAATAATGTATACAATATGTGGTTATGTTCTGGTGACTAACAAATGACACATATCTCAGCACTACAACATATCAATATGACTTTTCTCAAATGTGTGATTCACAATCTAGTCAAATAAAAGTCTACATTTGTATTTGATTTAATTTCAAGACAAAAGATAGTCACAAAAATAGGGAAAGAATGAAATAATAGACAATGGGTCTGCAACCCCTAGTCCTTCAACTCTCCAGCCAAGGTCAAACTGTGGGGCAGAGAAGCGAGGAAGCTGCTAGTCACGTACAACATTCACCCTTCGCGAGTGATGCTTCACCTCTATCAATGCTTGCAAGATGCTGCAATTTACCTATTCGTCATATACGCAATACAATGTACGAGGAAACGAGCATCACATAAAACAACATACTGTATACAGAACTGAATACTACATCACAAATAACATGTATTATCAAAGCTATAAATGCTTTGATATAGGTTATTGGTGGGTAATGTTGGTAGTGTGGCCAAGTAACATTAGTGATGCTGGTGATATGACCAAGTAACATTAGTGATGTTGGTAGTGTGGCCAAGTAACATTAGTGATGCTGGTGGTATGACCAAGTAACATTAGTGATGTTGGTAGTGTGGCCAAGTAACATTAGTGATGGTGGTGATATGACCAAGTAACATTAGTGATGGTGGTATGACCAAGTAACATTAGTGATGTTGGTAGTGTGGCCAAGTAACATTAGTGATGCTGGTGGTATGACCAAGTAACATTAGTGATGCTGGTGGTGTGGCCAAGTAACATTAGTGATGCTGGTGATATGACCAAGTAACATTAGTGATGTTGGTGGTATGACCAAGTAACATTAGTGATGTTGGTAGTGTGGCCAAGTAACATTAGTGATGCTGGTGGTATGACCAAGTAACATTAGTGATGTTGGTAGTGTGGCCAAGTAACATTAGTGATGCTGGTGGTGTGGCCAAGTAACATTAGTGATGCTGGTGGTGTGGCCAAGTAACATTAGTGATGTTGGTGGTATGACCAAGTAACATTAGTGATGCTGGTGGTGTGGCCAAGTAACAGTAGTGATGCTGGTGGTGTGGCCAAGTAACATTAGTGATGTTGGTGGTATGACCAAGTAACATTAGTGATGCTGGTGGTATGACCAAGTAACATTAGTGATGCTGGTGGTGTGGCCAAGTAATATTAGTGACGCTGGTGTTGTGGCCTGATGTCTGTAATGCTGGTCTTGTGGTGTGGCCAGGTAATGTTGGTGGTTTGGCCAGGTGTTGGTGAAATGGCCATGGAGAGTATTATTGGTGATGGTGTGGCCAAGTAATGTTGCTGATGGTGTGGCTAGGTAATGTTGGTAATGGTGTGGCCAAGTAATGTTGCTGATGATGTGACCAAGTAAAGTTAGTGGTATGACCAAGTAGTTTTTTTAATAGTGTGGCCAGATAATGGAGATGTGGTCAGGTAATAGTGATGTGGTCAAGTAATAATGGTGTGGTCAAGTAATATTGGTGATGTGGTCAGGTAATGTTGGTGATATGGTCAAGTAATGCTGGTGAGGCCAAGTGTAGTTTGTGATGGTGGTGTGACATACAGTAGTAATGTTGGTGGTGTGACAGGTAAAGTTGGTAAAAGACATGAGGCCAATGTTAAGTACTGTACTTGTAACAATTTGTCTTTATGAATTCTATTTTATTCATTCATTCTTTTCCTATTCATTGTTCATCGTCAGACATGTACACCATGATCTTTTAGTTTGGCAAAATATATTTCCTTCACAATTTTTGGGATGTTCTTGATAAATTGAAGAGCTTTTCTTCTATTAAAGAGTCCTAACTTGGCTCCTTTACCTAAGCACCTGTTTTTAAATATTATATCTTTTAAAGTTTTCTGTTACTGGTAAGGTTAGGTTTTGTCAGTTTTTGTGTGTTTTCTTACCCCACAATTTACCTCTACTGTACTTCAAAGCCTTGCCCACTTTGTGTGATCAAAATTGCATTTTTGAGTTAAATACAAAACTTATATGTATATATATATATATATATATATATATATATATATATATATATATATATATATATATATATATATATATATACTGTATATATATAATTTGTCTCTATCTACGATCATAAATCACCTATAGTAAGCAGGGTATGAAGGAAGAGGGAAATTGCTGGGTAAAACACCATGAAAACTGATAATATTTCATTAAAATGATGTATCTATGTGTTTTGTACACAAGGAAATTAAATATTTACCATGAATATTCCATTGTTGGCGTGTTGTCGTCTACTGTTTGTTTAAACTCAGTCCAAGTTACTCTCAAGTCCAAAAAATAATTTAAAATTACACCATGACGCCATGCTTTCATTGGTACAGTACCAGCTATCAAAATAAGGACTTACAGTTTAAAATAGAGGGTGGTCCGGGGGTGGAGCCCCTCGGCTAGTTGGTTGGGTAAAGTTAGGTAGATTTCTTTGGTTGATTGGGTTAGGCTTTATTAGGTTCTTTGAACTTGCAGTGTTGTATCGTTTTTATTACTTGCTATCATCTAAAGAACATTAATTGTGGAAAAAAATAAACACTGAACAACGCATTCTGGTGTCAGCCATCTGTTCCAGGAATCCCAAATATTTATCGGATAGGTTACTTTTTTTTTCTTTCATTTAAAATTTTACAATTTACATATATATAAACATTAGGGTGGTTAACCTTAAGGCAAAATTAACGTGGGTGTTTAATCTTACGGTGATCCAATACACAGGATATGGATATTTAAACAGTGGAAAGATAAAATAATAAAATACAGAGTTGATAATAATGTATTAACAAAGGAGCCATTTGGTTAAAATACTATAGTCCCAGGGTATAATCAACGTGCAGTAAAAATATAGGCACAACTTAATCTACAGAATCCAGGAAAAAAGTCACAGGAATAAATATCACAAAAAAGTCAGTACCTAACCTAACCTATTTTATTACTGTAATTGTTAATGGTATTTAATAAGATGATTTTTTTTCTGTGACCTTTTTTCTGTGACTTCATTTCCGTTTACCAAACACAACCTATCCTGTTAAGACTGTAAAGTAGATTTTTTTGTTACAGCGATATTCTTATTTAACGTCCACACACAATTAGCGATGGAATACTTTTTAACAGTCTCGAACACAGAAAATCATCCAACCAAAAATGACCAATACAAAAAACAAGAGAACTGTCTTAGCTTTTTTAGTTTAACAAATTTATTGACAAATCCTGCAGTAGGGTTTGCCTATTCCGAGTAATTCAGTCAGGTATTCCTCGGGTGTGTCACTCCCGTATTTATTGACGAGGGACGAGGGTAGAAAAATAATTGCCAGTACATCTTATTAAACTTACCTTTTGGGTCTTCTTAAACTCATTGAGTTGGTTTGCTGCGTTGTCGCGTGGCATCTTGGTGGATGGAAGAGGTGCACCTTCAAGTACACAGGATGATGTTCAGGTGAGTGAGCGGAGAGAAGTGAGATATAGCATCGCCCTCAGCTGATGTTTGCTGCCGGCATCTCCCTGACTCCAGTACCCGCTGCCAGACGTAAGTTCTACACTTTGATGTTCTCATGTACGTACAATATACTGTATTATAAAACCTGTGAATCATGAGCCTCTTTGAAGTTTTCCCTGGAAGTTTATATTTTTTATAGATAACTATGTACCACAAAACTATTAATATTATGATATACGATAAACTACTATAGCGCGCGAAAAACCCTGACCTTGCTCAAATGTTGGGCTATACTCACGTACCCATGTCGTGTCTGCCATAAGCTTCAGGAATTATTCCTTAGTACTATCAGCATAAAACTATTTTCCTTTTCTAACTGCGCAATGAAATGAATGTAATAAAAATAAGCTCACCAATTATGCGTGTAAACTAAAATCAAGATACTGTAGTAATTGTGCCAAACGAAAGATATATCCTTGTGGTTTTATATTTCACTTAAAACATATGATCTGCATTATATCATATATAGATTTTCTGTGCATGAAAAGCACAGCATTACTTACTTCCAGTAACGGTCAAACTTTGACAAAGTAGGTATAAAGTAGACGGGCGAAACAACTGGCAAGTATGGTCACAGCTTAAACAAGGCATCATGATCTTTTTTATATGAACTACAAGTAATGTATATACAGAACATATAATATTACTCAGTATTTTCCCTCTTTGTTTCTCATCACAGTGACAGTACAGTGTATGGAGCACACAACATGATTTTTGTTTCATCCAGCATTTGGCAATGTAACGTTGTACTGTAGTGGATTTCTCCCCTACAGTACATACAATCCATATCCAATTCATATTTCACCTGACAAGATAGAAATAAATGATTTGGCAAAACTAGATTATAGCAAACATTGGCCTTGCAGACAAGGAGGTCAACGGGTCCCCTCCACACTCATCGTGTCACTATATGTAACTTACCGATAAATTCCATGGCCCTTCAGGCACTTACGCCATTATATTCATGTGTCAAGAAGGCAGCATGAACTCCGCATGCTTCCCTATTGGGCGCTGTAAACGAGTTGGCGATTAGCCTTGCACAGAATGTAAGGGGGTGCCCAATAAACTAGCCCCCTCAGCAGACAAATCTGAAATCTGAAACTCGTACTGATAGGTAACTTTTATAAAATGGGCACGAATGTAAATGATTATTCGGTCTTTATACAAACATTAATGACAGATAAGTATCAAAATATAAATAAAAAAATAAAAAACTGGACTACTGTAACTGTACAGTATATCTAGCTTTCTCTACTTTTAATTTTACATCTGCATAACACTGGCAATTGCAACAAAGACTCCTGCTGTAACTGTCTGGTTACCGACTTTTTATCAGGTCAGAGTTCAGAGTGGAGAAGTGAAGATATTCCACCACACGAAAGGGTGAGGCACATGGCAACACACTGAACTTCGCACGGAGTGAATCGCTCCGCGTCTCTTTTATCTTTATCCTCTTCACCACTGATAGACTCGTTAGCTGCTTGGGCGATCGGTCACATCTCTGTTACTTTTCTTTTTCTCAAGGAAAACAACAACGTCCTTGATAAGGACATGACTTTGTCCACCATAACTTTGCTGCTAAGTGCTAACCATAACCATCTTTTCGTAAATATCATGTCATTGATATATATATATATATATTTCATGTAAATCCACAATGAATAAAGACGAAAGCTAAGGTACTCCGTTGTTTCCATTTTCCCGTGTGATTTTATCAAGAGATATATATATATATATATATATATATATATATATATATATATATATATATATATATATATATATATATATATATGGTATATGGGCCATATCGTTGAACAGGCTTTGTATATAGGGCCGTCCCTAGGAGGGCTGCGGGGCCCGGGAGCAACAGCCGTCCCTAGGAGGGTGCGGGGCCCGGGGCAACTCAGCCACTGTGGGGCCCCAGATTATGCGGTCAGAGGAACCCACCCCCACCAACCCCCATGGGACTGTCGCTATGGATGGTAAGGTCACGGTTGCGATGGTGGCGTACAGTGCCGGATTCAGACCTGTGGAGGCCCATGGGCAGCCTCTTTGTGGAGGGCCCCCTCATTATAACTACCCAAGAGGGTGGGGTGGAAAGTGAAGCAAGCCTAAACATCTGGGAGTTTCAAATTTTGAAATTTGAACACTTCTTTGGAGAATTTTGAAGCGATATGCAGTTATATTGAGGAAATTAGAACATTGAGAAATTTTTAATTAACTGCATATTTATTGATAGTGTACAAATTCCCAACACACACACACACACAAAAGTGAGACATGACTGGAGACGTGATGGAATAGATAAACATAAATTTTAAAGAATGAAAATAAAAATTATCCAAATGAATAAACAAATAAATAAAATATTGTAATATGTGGAGGCCCCCAGATTGTGGAGGCCCCTGGGCAGCTGCCCACTTTGTCCACTCCTGAATCCGGCCCTGGTGGCGTAAGCCGTCAGGTCAGATTAACCAGTCAACAGGTCTGTTCTATCTGTTCCAGTCATCTCCCCTAAACGGAAGCAGTTAGAGACCTGACACATCTTACATAGGTGATGGGTCTCAAGACTGTGCACTCTGTTATTACTATTAACCACGGACCCCCAGGTGGTCCGGGTAAGAAACAAAAATCTTCCCTGACTGAGATATCGCCATAACGATTACAGAAGGTGTTACCCGTGTCAGAGAGGGTAAACCGTGGCAGTCGAGGTTAGGTTAGGTTAGATTAAGTAGGACAAGGTTGAGGTGGTTACCCATGTCAGGGGGGCAAACTGTGACAATCAAAGTTACACAGTATATACGTATACAGTGTATCCTCTTGGGGATACTGTGTCAGGACCCAAATGCAGACAAGCGAGTTCTTCAGTATCTTCTCTTGGTGTTTTCCTATACGTCACTAACCAGGTACCACATCATCTTACATTTTTTTAACGAATTACTTTCCAGCTTTTTTCGATCTGCATTGTTCATCTTCGACATAAGTTCAGAATACATTAAACTTCACGTAAATCTTATTGTGTGATGATCTCTATTGTGTAGAGTAAAAGTTAATGCGTGTGATTAAATGAAAAAGATTTCTGCAGAATTATAATTTAAACAATTCACCTCATAATAAGGTAATTTTATATGACACACTGGGGGACAGCTAGTGTTCTAAATTAGCGAGAGGGTAGTGCCACCATTCAGAGCACACTTGCACAGTGAAAAAAAGTGTCCCATAAGCCTTACGGCCCTTTTGGGGTAGTGTGGTTACAGAAAACTTTATACTGTACACAAGAAAATGCTTGACCGGGACTGCCCTCAACTTCTTGCACATCCCCACCTGTCAAGTTAGGTGTTCATTTACAGGTGAGTGAGTTAGGAGTGCCCTAGACAAGAACCAGCTACCTTTATGACAAGAGGTGAACTCAGTATCCATTCGTCGCCAAACCCTTAGGTGCGTAATAATGGTCGGCATCACTTGTTGAGGGCACTACGTTGAGTAGATCAGCTGGTTGCCTTTACTTTATCCTCTTCTCCACTGATCGGCCTTTTAGCCGCTTGGGCGGTCGGTTACGTCTTTGTTACGCACTGTTGGCAAGTACTGGGCATGAACTGGTTTCAGAATGTATCTGTACCTGCTCCAATGTTGGTCAAGTCTGGTCTTGAATGAGGTCACACTCAGCACTGTCACAACACTCTCTGGCAGATTGTTCTAAGAATTCACAACCCTCACTCCGAAAAACATTGCCCTGACATTTTTTTGAACTTGTGGCTTCTTCAAACTTTATTTGTCACCCTAGTGGGGCGGGCGTTCGCCAGTTCTAGATATGGACACTCGACTGAGTAATGTCCTCTGGTGTCTATAGACCCATATTAAGTCACCTCTTGCCGCTTATAGTATAAGCTAGGCAGTTGCAGGTGTTTTAATCTCTCTGGGTACCTGAGGTGGCCCTCCTATGGACGTTTTCAATCAACTGACAGTCTCAAGGATATCTCAGGGACCAGACAGTACTCCAAACGCTTGATTCACCTTTGTCTCAATGGTCCGATAACTTTAATTCGGTGTCAACATACACACCAAGGTCCTTTTCACATTTGGTCTCCGTTAAATGCTGTTTCTTCCCGTTGGGACATGTGATACGCCTCCTTACTGTTGGTATGATCTAGGCGCCTCCTCTTGCATTTCGTGACGTTGAATCTTAACAGCCATTCCTTTGACCACTCCTAAATCTGACAGAAATCTTTCTAAAGCGTTTTACAGTCCATTTTGGTTCTTAATTAATTTCCCTGGATAATTTGGCATCGTCCGCGAACAATTGCACGGAGGAGTGTATAGCTTCTGGCATGCCGTTTATGAAACAAACAAGCAACAACAGGCCAATGCAGTACACTACCACTGTGGTACTCTGTTTGTCACAGGTACTCACGATTATTTCGTGCCATTAATCACCACACTGCTTGCGGTCACGAAGAAAGTCTGATCCTGCACGCTAGGACATTTCCCCGAATTACGTACTCTTCCAGTTTAATGTTCAACCTTTCATGAGATATGCTGTCGAAAGCCTTTGCAAAGCCCAAATATATAGCGTTGGTATTGCCACCACGCTCCAGCACCTTAAGTACAGTAATTACGTCAAGCTAGAGCGGGCCGGCTTAAAACAGTGCTGACATTCCTTTACTAGGTTCTTTCGTTGTAGATGTTCCTGCATGGCACCTCTTATGATGTTCTCTAGTACTTTACACGCTATGCTGGTCAGACTCACTAGTCTATAATTATTAGTGGAGTAGCGATCACCCTGCTTGAATATAGGACTCACATATGCCATTTTTACTTTGCTGGGGACCTTTTGCTCATCTATGCTTCTGCAGAACAGGATTTTAAGGGGCTCAGCAAGCTCGTTGCACAACTCTCTTAGCACTCTGTGGTGCACCATGTCAGGGCCAGGGCTCTTATGAACCTTTGGCTTTGAAAATTTGTTTCCAATACTCTCCTCTGAGAATATAATGT